TCGCTTTTAAATCACCAACAATACCCACAGCTTAGTGACTCTAAAAATTCCGTCAAATTTATTGGCAGCTTTTTCTAATGCCGAAATGACCGATATGGTCTTGATTTACGGAAGAGCATTTGGAAATGCTCATGAAGCGCAGCGTCTCTCCCAGGAGGAATTTTCAGGCCGAAGATTGCCTCATCACACAACATTTACTGCCGTTGTTCAACGTCTCCGGGAAAATGGAAAATTTCGGCAAAGTACGATCGTGGTCGTGAAAGAACCGAACATGTTATAGACGTGGAACCAGAAATACTAGAAATTGTGGAAGAAAACCCAAACATAAGCATTCGCAAATTGTCATACAGATTAGGAGTTTCTCCGTTTGTTGTGTGGCGAATCCTAAAAGAACAAGGGCTTCACCCATACCACGTGCAGCGCGTGTAATCCCTTAAACCAGGAGACCTGCCTCGTTGAGTGCAGTTCTGTGAGTGGTTGGTGCAAAAAAATAGGGAGTAACGAGACTTTGTACCACCGACGAGGCTACTTTCACAAGAGAAGGAGTTTTTAATTCTCGTAATACTCATATTTGGTCTGATGAAAATCAATTTGATAGGTCCATACCACGGTAGTAGAATAGATAGGTTGATACACTAGCATACATTTGCATATCCCTGGTCAGCGACGCCAATTGTCGATCGCGTCGCCTGGTTTTTGACGTTTTAGGGACACAGAACTCTATAGGCATCTGTCTATAACCGATGTAATTAATAAAAGAAATCGTACTTATCGACTCCGATCAAATGTCATTTACAAATTTTGTATTGTTCATAAAGCAATGTAAACGAAAATCCCCAAAATAACTAGAATGATTTCCGCTCGACAAGGTAGAGGCGCTAGCTGTATGTGTCCTTTCCATGGATATAGGGATCGAAAAGAAGCGTCGCCATCCCAAGCCATTAGTGTACAAACCTATCTATTCTACAACCGTGGTCCATACGTTTTTGCCCCCTCGCTTGACGGCGGTTGCGTATTTAGATTTTTTAAACAACGATTTAAGACCATTTTTGGAAAATATACCCTTAAATGTTCGTAGGAATCTATGGTACCTTCATAATGGGGCCCCTGCACATTATGCCGTAGAAGCGGGAATGGTTTGACCGAAACTTTCCAAACAAATGGATTGGGAGGAATGGACCTGTGTTGTGGCCACCTCGTTCTCCCGATCTCAATCCCTGTGATTTTTTTATGGGGTTACATGAAGCAGGTAGTTTATCAAACTCCGGTGAAAATCGTGCAAGAGTTGACAAATCGCATTCATAATGTTGCTGCCCAGATTAGAAATAATTCAGGTATGGTTAGAAGAACGCAGCAGTCGTTAATTCGGCGAGCAGAAGCATGTGTGCAAAATAGAGGCCGTCATTTCGAAGACTTGTTGTAGCAGTTTGTTTAACGTTGTGTTAGTTTTATTCTTTATTTTTATTTAGGTTAGTAAAGTTTAGTTGGTTATCGTCGTTGAAAAGTCTTATTCTTATTAGTAGTCTCTTTTTGTAAACTATGCTCATTCATTCATAAGTCTGTACATAACTAGAGAAAATGACAACATCCTGAAAAAGAACACGCAGACGATTACCTATTACGTCGGAATTCCAATGGAACCAAGATCAGCGGACCACTGTCTGGACAGGTTCTGGAACCGCGTTCTTGTAAGAACTGAAAAAACCACAGCGGAACGCGAAAAACGGGAAAGAAGACCCGCGATCCTGGACAGTGGTTCGCCGGCCCTCGTTCTAATACGACCTCGATGCAAGGAAAATTAAGTAAAAATGACTAATTAATTACTACCATTTGAAATAATTCTTTACTCCAAAATGTTTAAACATCACCTTTCATTGTCAGTTTTTGGTTGCTATGTTTTTACAAAACGTGAATTAATTGAATCTGATACCACCTCTTACAGTGGCGCGAATAAAGCTTGGATAACGGGTAAATTTATTTTGCAACTTTTGATAATACAACAGGAGTTTTTTTCATTCCTTATGCTCTTGGGAACCCGTCCAATTTTTTTGTCGATGCATTTCGCAAACACCCTATATAAATATCACTTGTTAATCGTAAATTTGGCAACGTTCATATTCAGACGATTGTCTAACTAAAAGCCGAAAGTTGTTATATATTGCTAAATTTTAAGCAAATCAACAGGTGGCGGTTCACTAGAAAGGCCACAGACAATAATACCAATCTACTGTGATAATACCAATACCATCATATGATCAAAAAAACTTGTCAAGTGTGCTTTAGAATTTACTTAAAAAAATATGTATGTTGACAGTATGATTATTTTTGACCAACATTATTTAAATCTGTCAATTTGACGTTATGTTTGAGTTTGATCAGTTTGATTCTAAATGATAACTGACAACCATGATTATTGATTAATGAGTTGTCATTGTCATTGATGTACATAACGTGTACATAACCTTAAATTATACGTATTACACTTCTCAAACCAAAATAACAGAAATAATCAATGCTAAAGAATATTAACGTATAGCGTTTAACCCATGTGTAACCCTTGATATTCTTCGCCAATGCTGGCAATACAATTATTATTAAATTAAAAAAAATCCAAAGCACACTTGACGAGTGTTTTTTTTTTTTTATTTATAATGTGGAAAATTGGTCTTTATTATTTTCTTTATTTTCATACGAAATGAATTTTTGTAGCACCCAGAAAATACAAAATTCGGGAATTTAGGCAATTAATATCCACGTTTTCGTAATTTTTAAGACTAAAAAATTATACTAGTCCGGCACAGAGTCCGGTCACGTTCTGGTAGATCTCATTCAGTGGATTCAGCACAGTATAGACATCAATCAGTAAGGACAACTCGTGTCGGCGCCTTTGATCTTTCTGACCCGAATTTTAAGCCGTCATGGGTGGTCGTTGCCTAAACTATTTCTAGATGTCGCCACCCAATTAAAAGTTATCACAATCGCAAAAGAATTAAATATAGTGTAAAAACAATAACATTTTGTAGTTGATCTTAGAAACAACACAGTCTGTTATAAAAATAATAAATTAAGTGCTCTACAACAGCGATGTCGTCCTGAAATTAAGATTTGGCCCCGCTTCTCTGATAACGATTTTGTGTTTTATTAATTTATTTTCCATGTTTTGATGGCTGTACCAGTGATGAACTGTACATTTTATTTTATTTTTTTTTTACAAAAAACGAAATAGTAAACAATGGTTCCATCAAAACATGAAGAATGTTTTTTAGAACGTCTCTGTGAAAATTACATTTAACTGCAATAATTACGCGAAAGATCAGTCTTAAACCATCAAAACCAATGCAACTGAACTGCGAAATTTCAAATATCTCCCATTAAAGTCACTAGACAACCAAAGTACTGCAGTTCAATGTTCCAATGCGTAAGAAAGAGAAGTACCTTGCGTTGCGCGCCTTCATCAAGACAAACGACCACCCATGAAAGCTAATGTGACTCGATCTTGAAATGTGTGGCAATTAGTAACTTTTATGAAATAGAAATATATCTGTGTCCTTGTTATGCTCCGTCTTTTCGACAGCAGGTATTTTTTGCTTCCAGTATGGCGATCCTGTTACTGTCATTTGGCCGTCAATTGCCTTGGTGGTAACACGTCTTCCACGACTGTTTGCTGGTTACCGGTGACACTTTCTCGTTGAATTGACCCTTTTCCTGTAAGCAAAGTAAGTAGACATTATATAAATTCCAATGATACAGAGTGAGACAACATCGCGCAGGCGAAGTCAGATTTTTGGAGCGCCAAGTTAAAATTAACCAATGAGCGACAGATTACGCATGTGTAGCCGGTTGCATTCTGTCAAAGCGGTTTGTCACAGTATAGACACAGTATAGATATCAATCAGTAGAGACAACTCGCTGTTTTTACTGACCCGTTTTCATGGGTGGTCGTTTGTCTTGTGACCGTATGAGGGCGCGCAACGCAAGGTACTTCTCTTTCTTACACATTGGGACATTGAACTGCGGTACTTTTGTTATCTAGTGACGTTAATGTGAATTGTGAAATATTTGAAATTTGGCAGTTTAGTTGCATTGGTTTTGATGATTTAAGGCTGATCTTCCGGTGTAATAATTGCAGTTAAGTGTAATTTTCATAGAGACATTTTAAAAAGCGTTGTTCACGTTTTCATAGGACCATTGTTTACTGTTTATTTTTTTTTTTGTAAAAAAATTAAATGTACATACAGTTAAATCCATAAGGTTGTAACCACTCGTTAAATTGTAAGGTTGGCATTAGAGCCAATGGTGTTTTTCACATGAACAGATTGGTAACGGCGCATGTGTCAAAATTTGACAATTACGCACGAGAGAGTTTTATTTAAATATCTCACAGTTTGTTATTAAACCATATCATTGAAAAATGGTACCAACACGGCATATTGTGATAAATAAGCAGATGAAAATGGCACTTGCCAACTGCCACAATGAATTGAAACTTGCTTATCCCTACGCATCGTCCCGAGAACTTGAATTCAAGCTTGTAAAAATCTTTTCAGTATGTAGTTATTCTTATACCATGGAAAGAGAGTACTATACTATGAGAGTAACGTATCGACATTCGGAACTTTTTTCATGTTATTACAACACGGTGGTCTGTCGAAGGACTTTTAGTTTTAACTACCTCAAGTTGAAAGTGTATATCTCGCTTTTTAGTACAACATTGTCTTTTCAAGTTTTATACCCACTCTTTATATCCTACACAATACAACTAAATGTACCTCATTAAATTCAAACACTGCATAAACTTTCCGACTTTCCCTGTAAACTTATCATTAATTCGTATCCTTTTCATAGTGTTCCCGATGTCATGCCCACAAAATTATAACCCAACACCAATCTGGAGAACCGTTACAAGAAGCAAAGTGGAAACCAAAACAAAAATCGCAGTGGTATTCAAATTTGGAATTTTAAGATCTAACCTACCGTATATTTGACAAAAACAAAAAAAATGAGTTTTTTACTCTTCAGGATTTGTTTATTTTTGCGAAAGAACATCCAGAATATACAGCAAGTTTAAATACTTTACATCGAGTATTAAAATCCATGGGATTCAGATCTAAGAAAGTTAACAACAGAAAAATAATTGCTTTTTGGTTATTTGGTCTATGTGTTCCCAATGTTTCTAACCACTCCTGTAACAGTAAGTTTAAATAAGCAGTCAAATTATTTTCAACATACGTATTATTTTAGCCTCTGAATTTTGTGAAGTTCCATTTTGTTCATTATTACCACTAAAATCCTCAGGACGGAGGAGCATAGCCAGACCTATCGCCTTCAACCAAATTCCTTGTACACTTTGTAAATAATAAGTAGTACCAAATATTAGAGTTATTAAACATAACGTTAAAGACTTGTTGGTGTCCCATTTTTTTGATGAAAAATTGGTCATCCGTTGCGACTAATTAAGGTGATCTACCCATTATAGACAATTTTGGTGTTGCTCGCGAAATTGATCATTTCAGCCGAGAGAGCTGGTCCTTCGAGTCATATCATATCATAGTTAGCCACACATATAATTATCACGTATACTCATGTACAATAATTTAAACAAATTCTGAATATCTCAGTTATTCCCCATCTGTAAAGTAATTTTTATGAAGCAGCAACAATAAATAAATCAATTCACCTTGTTTTTTTACCAACCCAACATTTGATTTCATTCGTGGCCACAATATTTTTGGCTTCATTTTATCGTAATTCGTAAACGTATCAACTGCAAGTCTAAATTACAGCAGGTGGCATTCTTCTTTCTACAGATGAAAGATAAAACACGTTTCTATTTATCGTTGCTCTTGTATCATAATTACCATGAAGACTCAGGTTATCCTGTTTTCACTGAAAATTGTTTATCAATTTTTACAATATTGCGACAAGTTACAATGATAATTATGAAATAACCTGTGCAGGAGTGCAAGAATTGCAGTAAAGTCGAACGTAATCATGTGTCGCGAATACATGAATGAACTGACATTATATTGACAGGTCACCAGATATGTCACCAGGCTATTAAAAGACAGATTTACACTGAATAATTTTTTAAAATTTACACTAGGGAGTGGTTACAACCTTATGGATTTGAGTTTATATTAGCATTTTCTAATAACGTTGAATTTTACAACAATTTACAGCCATCATGAAAAAGAAATTAATGAAACGTAAAATCGTAATCAGAAAAGCGGTCCACATCTAAATTTCAACATGGCATCCCAGTAGTTATAGGGCGCTTAATTAATTATTTATTAAAATAGACTGTGTGGTTTCTAAGATCAACTAGTTATAAAATGTTATTGTTATTACACTATTTTTAAGTCTTTTCCAAAAATTCATTTGCACAAAGTATAGTAAATTGTTTTCACGAATCAATTTTAAAATGAAGCGTTTGTGATCCTTTTTAAATTGGGTGGCGACATCTAGAAATATTTTGGACAACGACCACCGATGACGGCTTAAAATTCGGGTCAAAAAGATCAAAGGCGCCGACACGAGTTGTCCATACTGACTGTTGTCTATACTGTGGTCACAGGCCTTTGCTCTGCTGCCGGAGTGCCGGATACTATTTCCAACGTGGTTTTGAAGATGCGTGCGCACGGAAAGTCACGATGGAAGTTTTACGATCTTACAGGAAAAGGGTCAATAGGACTGGAGTTACTTTGGGACTGGAATAGTGTTCTTTCCGGTCCGTTAACTCAATAATTCTAGTACAGTCTGTCGTAACCTCAAATCGTAAACACATCAAACTTTCGTTGACAGATAGCGAAAATTACTAGCCTCGCGCTATCTTTGTTTAACACATAGGTTAGGTTCCTCTCTGTCGAATTCCGACCACAGGCAGTTTGCCGTACTTTCTAAAAGTAATAGTAGATCTAGTGACTTTAATGAAAGCGGGTTAGTAAAAATAGCGAGTTGTCCCTACTGATTGATATCTATACTGTGGATTCAGTGTCACATATGCAACACACAATACAACTGTGTTACAAGTTTTCCCAATGCTTTTGATAAAAATAATATCAAGAATATTATAACCTAGTTTTTTTATGCGTGTGATGTGTGCGGCATCGGTTTTCATAACATGCTAATTCGACAAATAATAAAATGCGGCAAACCAAAATTTTTAAGACACTATTCCAACCGCAACATTTTAAAATTAAAAGAAAGAGGAATGTTCCAAGATATCTTTCCAGATACTGCGGCGTACGTGAGTTTAATTTAAAAATATATAATTTTAATTTAATTAATGACCCTTTTAGAAATACGGTAAAGGACTTGTTAAATGCAGCTCCACAGTGTGTGTACGCTGGCTTCGACCCAACTGCTGATAGTCTTCATATAGGCAATCTGTTGGTTCTCGTCAATTTATTGCATTGGCAACGAGGAGGCCATCAGCCTATAGCTTTGGTTAGATCATACAGTTATTGTAATTTCAATTAGAATTATTATTTGTAACAGATTGGAGGTGCTACTGCCAAGATTGGAGACCCTAGTGGCAAGAGTACAGAACGAGAAAAGTTATCAACCACTTTCATAGATGAAAATATAAAATGCATAAAACGGGACATTGACAAGATTGTTTACAATCATGCAAAATATTTGTGGAAGGGAGAGGATAAACTGCCTCCTGTGAAGTATTAATCTGATTTAAGTACTGCCCTGTTTAATGCATATGTTTATAGATTTGTTAATAATGAAGAATGGTATAGCAAAATGACTGCTACTGAACTTATAGGTGGACCAGGACGTTACCTAAGAATGGGAACATTAATTAGCAGAACAAGTGTGCAAACTCGACTACAGTCACCAGTTGGAATGAGTTTTACTGAATTCAGTTATCAACTATTCCAAGCATATGATTGGTTACATTTGTATCAAAAATATAATTGCATGTTCCAGATTGGCGGAAATGATCAAATGGGTAATATAATGTCTGGACATGAACTCATCAGTAAAACATGTGATAAACAAGTGTATGGTATAGGAGTTACAGAATTTAAAAAATGATAAAAATTAATGGTTCGTTTTTCTGCAGGTCTCACTCTTCCCATAATTACAAGTGAAATGGGTGACAAATTTGGCAAATCAGCTGGCAACGCCATGTGGTTGTCACCAGAAAAAACTTCTCCTTTTACCCTTTATCAGTTTTTTGTTCGACAACCTGATGGAGAAGTAGAGAAATTGTTAAAATTGTTTACATTTGATACTATAGGAAGTATCAAGGATTTAATGAAACAGCATGAAGAAAAACCTGAACTGAGACTACCTCAAAAACACCTGGCCAAACAAGTTATTTTATTAGTTCATGGAGAAAAAGGCTTAGCAGAAGCATTAAAAGCGACACAAGCATTATATGAGCAAAGTATCTCAGCTTTGGGGCAAATGAATGCTTCAGAAATAAAGAGCTTATTTCAAGGAGCAACAGTTGTAGATATTTTGCCCAATCCAGGACAAAGTGTATTAGATTTATCAATGAAAGTTGGATGTTTTACAACTAAAGGTAAACAAAGAAATGAAATTTATTCATTAAAGTTAACTTAATAATTACAGAAGATGCAGTTCGAATAATTTGTGCTGGAGGTTTTTACATAAATCATCAACGAACCAACAACCCTAATGAAATTTTAAACTTAAATGTTCATAGATTAGCAAATAACTTAACTTTACTAAGAGTAGGCAAAAGAAATTACTATGTAGTGAAATGGCTTGGTTAAGTTGAATTAAAGCTTGACATTCTTTAAAAATTCAATTATTTTGGCCGCTAAAATTCGTACATGATCCTCGTGTATTTTCGTGAATTTAGAAACATCAGCAAGAATCACATCAATGTCCAAAATATGACGGTAATGTGTTAATTCAATAGCAGCTATTAAAATACTAACAGGAATATAAAATTTAGAAGCAATTAAATGGCGAAAAACAATTACACAATCTCTATTTTGTGAATAAACATCTTTGAGTTCTTGAAACCACTTCCATCGTTCCATGTAAACATACTCAAGAATCTTCAAACATAAAGGGCGAATATTTGCTTTTAACTTTGTTTCACACATATACTTCTCTATAACAATATCCATATCATTGAGTGCTGTTGTAATTGGTAAATTCCCTTTCAATGTAACGATTACATCGCCTTCCATTGACAGAACTTGAGTTGGACTGTACCACTTTTGTGTCAAATAAAACAGCAGGTCGATCACATGCTTCACTTTTAGGCTTTCTGGTGCTCCCTCTGATTTGTGGCATAAGAAACTGATCGTCACGGCGGCCAAAAGAGGATCGCTAATCTTCTGTTTATCTGATTTCTTCGCCCTAATGTAATCTTCTGCCACTTCAACAGCTAAAATGAAGACGTGGGCGTTTTGTTCAAATGCATCGCAAATTTGTTTAAATAATTTGACAGTATTCACTCCAAGAATTGGTTCCTTATACATTCCACGTTTAGTACTAATATCTAAGAACCAGTGAAACAATAAATCATTTTCATTATTTTCTAGGCACATATTGTTTGAAATCATGATTTTCAAGCGCGAAACATTTCTGCAAACATGTCTGCGCAAGTCTTCGACCATTCGACGTGATTCGACCGTTGTCTTTCTTCGACAGAATCATCTAAGGGCTGCCAACCCTAGATCACCAGTCATTTATTTTTTGTGTTCGAGTTTGAATTTTATAACAAACATGAATAGATATTCCGAGTGACTAAATATTAATGGAACTCTTTTGCCGGCGTGTCTTTAATATTAATTAAATGAGAGACGCTCCTTCCTGTCCTGTAGAAAATCATGCAATAGTGGAGATATTTTATGCTTACCTCCATGCTAAAGTCCCTATATTAGGGACTTTGGGTATTAGCAATCCGTTTTGTTTTCAAATTTGAACTGATGAAAATGTGAATACAAGAACCAGCAAGAACTGACAAGAACACACTTTTATGGACCTCAAATGTGTTCTCGTGGGCATAATCCTGCGTCTCTTTTTATTAATTAAACAAAAAAAATATTACACGTATGTTTTCATTGCTAGACAAAACATAATTGGATAATTGTCTCCATTTTTCTTCATTTCTGTTAATTATTACTCTTTCCGTCCGAAAATATGGTATACATTTGTAACTTTATTTAATAATACTATTATAACGACAATGCATTTCAATTTATATGCAATGGGACTTTATTTAGAGCTTCTGGAGAATACACCAATCTCGTTAGTAACTTTCCTTCACGACGAAGTTTGGATTTATTAAGATGAGGAATTTTATACTTAAAATTAAATAAATTAAATTATTATAATACATTATTATTATTTATTATAATAAATAATTGATTTAATTTAATTACTATTTCTAAAATCTCTTATTTTTTAAATTCAGCGGGTGTCGATTTATTTTGTTGTTATTGTAGTAATTTTCTTGGTCACTTTTTTAACAAAAACGAAGTAAATCTCAGTCCACTATTTATATTATTTTCCATCATTATACAAGTTGCAAACAGAATAACTTCATTATAATTGCTGGTCATCACTCGTTAATTATAATAATTTTGTAAAATGTATCCATATTTTCGGACAGATGGAGTATTTTTTATATAAAAATTTCAGGTTTTCGTTTTGTTGTTTGCTATTCAGTGACGTGATAAAATAAAGTCGTAAACAGTGTGAAAATACTTTATTCAATACACAACATTATCAACTAGATTGTGATGTGGCACCCCCCACTAACATAAATGCAAAATAAAACACAAACTTATCACTTCTAAGAGTTCGTTGCAGCTTTGATGATGGTCGCCAGTAGATCAGGGTCTTCTTGTTGTTGTCCAACCCACCACATGCACAATGCGTTCTCATAAACCAGCGCTGTCCTAGTATGATGCAGTGGATCCAAAGTATGGTGTTGTCCAGTGGCGGTGGCAAGTATCGGTCGATAAGGATGTAAACTTACACCATTACAACTGTCACTATGCAGGGGCATCTGAAAATATTTACTTGGAATTAATTATAACTTCCAACCAAGTTTTCACAGTTACCAAGAGTTGAATTTGTCACTGTTCCTAAGGACCTCACTTTAATTTATTTTAGATAAAAAAAAAAAAATAAAATAAAATGAAAAAGTAAATGTGAAATAAAATTAACTAATATTAGTGTCCTGGGAATCTGTAACTGTTGGTGAAAGACAAAACAAGAAAAAATACAATTGGTGTTATTAATAAAAAAAAATGCTATTTAATAGAAACGTGACTTAACTTACGTACTGAAAACATGAAATAATTACGTGGTAAAAAAGTGAAGTCTAATACTCACTTGCATATGAACAGTTGGATAGGTACTATCGTGAACATTCCATACTTGCACCTTACCATCCGTGCCCCCCGAGACGAGCCAGTTACCACACATGGAGAGGTCAATACTGATTTTTTGGTTGGTATTAGCCTCACGGGTCAAACAGAACATGGGTCGGCCCGGTACCTTGAAAATTATTCACGTTAACAATGAAATTTATTCGTTTGGAAGCTGTTTTCCTTTTTGTAATTAGAATGTTGGTTTAACGGTCTTACTCGTAGATCCCAGCAGATAATTTCTTTGTCCTTCCTCGCGCCGCTGTATAGGCGGGATCCGTCCAAAGAAAACACCATGGATGTGATTCCTCCTCGGTGACCAGTCAGCTTGCACAGGTGGCGGAACGTGCCATCACTCTGAGCCACCAATTCAATTGTGTTTTTCCACGTACCTGCAATACGTGAAATATTGACATAAAAAATCACTTAAAACTCCAACAAAAGCGGTTTATTTTTTCGCCTTGCTTATAAAATTTACTTTTAGTTGTCGCTCATGTTATTTAATGCTACGTTTACCTATTTACCAAAGATAGAAACTTATTTCTGATAGAAGAATTAAGTAGTAACAGAAAGCATAAATACTGAAGTAAATATGCCAAAAATTTTGAAAATAGTTATGAATTTTGGAGCAAGCAAAAAATATAAGTATGTAAAAATATTGCAAAAAAAAATCATAAATGTTCTATGTAAATATGCCATGGACACTGATAAAAAATGCTAATTGTAGCTTAATTTTTCACGCACGTTTCTTTACGTAAGCAGCAAACATGTTTTTTTAAATTGTAATTAAACTATTTTAAAATTACAATGCCCTTGGAATATTACCATTACAAAATGTGTACTCATACATGTGTGAATAAAGTTTACCTATAGCGACGACGCCAGGTTGCGCTTGACTAGCCACCAAACACGAAGCTGGATGGGTTGTTGGGTATTCAACGAACTCCCGTCCTGGTCGACCCGTACTAAAAATTTTAACATTCTTCTTGTAACCACAAAATACATTCTGACCATCAGCTGAAAAAGTTACGCTTATTGCAGCTTCCAGTTCATCGACACTGTTGTACCCTCTGTAGGAACACCGCAAATTTCCAGTGAAAGCGTCCCACAAGTGGATAGGGCCTTCATGACCGCTCGATAACCAACTAAAAAAAAAAAAACATTTTATTCATAACAATCATAAGCAGTTGTGACTGATTTGTGCGTACATAAAAAATAATGTGGAACAAAAAAAAATAAAAACTATATAGGTACTTTTTAAAAGCAACTGGCTACTACTGGAGAAAAACCTACTTTCTTGCACTATTTTAAGCCATAAAAAAGTCCATAATTTGAAGGCTGAATTTTATGATTTAGAGACAACAATTTCCATGGTTAGTTATGAAAAGGAACAAACTGCAACGTTCGGTTTCATTAACATTAACAGTTACAACTCATTTCTCCATCACATGAATAGTAAACTTGCATGCTTGTGAAAATTGAGTATAAAAACTATTTTTTTTTTTTTCACCATTGTGAAAAGATTGTGAAACTATGTTGTTACTTCAGTTTCCTCATATTAGCTATTGGTGGGTTGTCATGCTGTATTTTTAGCCATTTAAATGCGAAATGTCGGAAATATGAATATTATTTTTTTGCTTTTTCAACATTATCGTTCTTTGAAAATTCGTGCTAATAAAAGCTGCGAAAATGTAACATAACGCACACCCTTTCATAAGATACAGCTTTGTACACTTGTTTTTAAAATAACTATTACATGTTACATTACTCGTATCATGCCGACGCGTCAAACTGATAAAAATGAAGTATGTATACAATTTGAAAGGGACTTTCCATGTACAACAACAGTACGGTACACGTTTGCATGTGAAAATAACCAATTCTCAAACTATTTACTCATTCATCAAGTTCATTTTGTATATTTAAATATGTATCTCTCATTACAATTTTTTGTTTGTCAAAAATACCTCTTCACTTTACAAATTTCAAGTTGGAATGCCGTCTTTATTATTTATATCTTACTTTTTAGTATTCAGAGACAAAAGTCCAAAGGCATTGTTTGCAGGATGTATAAAACAGAAATAGTGAACTAGTGACAGTATCTCAAGGACATCTATTTGAAAGTTATTAAGGATTATTGATTGTTATCCAAATGAATAAATAATCCGAATAATTCGTGTCTTACTACATATAATGGTTAAATTAACGTCAATATTAAAATAACATACCAACAAGTTGCTGGATTTCCACTATTCATTCCTGGATACCAACAGCAATCATATATTAAGCCACTTTCAGGCACACTAACGGCAGGACTGAGGGCCACAATAGGCCTACTATTCATTAACGTCTCTCCAGAGTACAAATCTTGTGGTAATTCCATTACGTGCATTCCAGCACCTCGGACAACCGTCAACAGACAAGTCCCATCGGGCGACCACTTGCACCCTTTCATATAATGTTGGTCCGCATAGTTGGACCACTGACATCGAGCTAACTCTAAAGCTGAGTTTTCAAAATTATAATTTGTATATGATACGAATGATTGGCCCAAAACGGCATCACCCACGTCGTACTGCGGTTCCGTCACTGCTTCACTCATTTTGTTAAATCACCTAAAAACTAACCACATCCACGTATTTACAAACGAATCGATAAAAACTGCCGTAAATAACTGATAAATGGCTACTGATTATTACGCAGCAACACCTTCGTTTGGAATGTTTCTAGATTGGATTAAATGACAGATCATTACGAAAACGATAAAACGTTACCAACAGAAACTAAACATCACGGTAGTGCCAATCGCATGGATGAAATTTACCAAAACGAAAATTTTTTAATTTGAGGTTGACAGTTGACACACTCAAATCACAGATTACGCTCAAATTATTATTAAATGAGTGAAAATATCGGTAAGTTATAGTCCCCAGTTCTAATTCGGTTATCTCTGGTATCGTCACCGTGGAGCAAACCTGGCGGAAACTTAACAAAAACAAAAATTATAAACACCATTTGACAGACCGCGAAATTTAAAATGGTTTTATGTTGGATTTAAAGTTTGTACATAGTTTATATACAAAATATGGAGTTTTAATTTGAATAAAATATACAATTTAATCAATAAAATCTTATTTAATAATTATTAGTTATATTAATTGACAATTAATTGACTTTAAACAAAAATACCACGCCAAGGCCACGTGACAACAACGGTTTACGCACTGTCAACTCTCTACTGACACAATTTGGTTCCAAACCAGGGGAATTTTTTGCGTTACCAACTGCATTTACTCCACTCTCACAACAATGGCTGACGGTACTATGTCACAGACTATGTATTTCTAGGGGCTATACCATTACCATTGTACTGTATTAAATTCTTATTTATGACTGTCCCATCACCGGCAGTAATAATCTATTGTTAAGAAAGTTAACTTCCACACGTCATAAAACCGAAATAAAACTGGAGAAACTACAAAACTCATTTGAAAATTTGACATACACTTTGTAAAAGTTTTATGAGTCAAACCACCAAACCACCCTTAATATAATAATGGACCCGAATCACAAGGATTATTACTGTCTATCGTTGCCATAATGGAGCTGTAAAATTTTACTAGGTATGTGTGAACTGAGTTAAGTTATACAATAGCCAGTTTGACTTATAAGGGTACTTAGGCTTAAGCTGCTTAAGTCATAAAAGTTTTACAAGGTGTATGTCAAGTGATTTTGTATAATTTAACTTTGACACTACAAAACCGAATGTTCTGAAAACTTGCAAACGTTTTAAGGTATCGTAAGCATGTTAAATCGTCAATCAAATTTTTTTCGTTGATGCACCTCTAAAAAATGAAGACGTCATTTTACAGTTTTAATGAATACTTACATTTTATAGAATTACATACTCCTGCATGTGAAGAATCCGTCTTGAGATTTTATGTTAGATATCCAGATTTTTGGGGAAAAAATGTGTTGTACAATTTAACTTTGAAATTGCAAAACCAAATGCCTTGAAATCTTGTCAAAGCTTTAAGGTTATAGCATGGAGGTAGAATAAGAGGAGGGAAGATGGCTCGAAAGCGCTTGGGGAGAGGCTGGACGTGCGATACAAAAACGAATTCGTGTTGAGTTTTTACCTTTGGCATTCAGATTTTGGAAAAGAAAACAAAATTTTATAACAATATTTTACAATTTAATTTTGGAATTGTAAAAACTGAATGCTGTGAAATCTTCCAAATATTTTACGGTTATAGGAAGCATGGTAAATCGTTGATTAAAATTTGCCCGTCATCTTACAGTTTTCCCGAATATGTAATTGTTCTTCAAATTTATGAGTGTTTTTGGAAAATACATCATTGAGTGTGATTTTATTAATTAATCAGTCCTCTTCTCTGCGTTGAGGAAAATTTTATTATTTTTAACTGCTGATCTGAACGTGATAATTGTCCAATTTTTTCGAAATATAAACATAAACAGTGGAACATGTACATACCTACCTGCTGAGAAATTGAGAATATCTACATTTTTCTCCGTTGTTTATTTGCTTTAAATATATTTCATATTGTCGACATTTGGAATTTGCGGGGTGTTAATTACACCACTGGTTTTTAATTTGCGCTTATGAGAAGACGAAAATCCCATAATCAAATTTCATAATTTTTTTGAAGAAGCGGGATTTTTTGTACCATGGTAGTAAAAGTCCCAGGTAAATGATCTCTTTTTTCAACTGTTGTTTAAATCAACAACTATAATTTTTTTTAGTTATGATTATGCAAGAAGTTTATCTGTTCCAGACAAACCATTTAGTTCATTCAGCAGTGGCGGCTCGTCAGGGGGGGCCAGTTAGGCCAGGCCGAGTCTGTCACCGAACTTGTCAATTTGCGATATTCATTTTTATTTTAAACGCAAGAATATAATTTAAAGCTATTTTGAAATCACCTGATTTTACTGTTGTTATTATTTTTTTAATTACAAAAAGCGTTATCTAATTTATTCACTTTCGTTCGGAAGCACAAATCGTGCCGGGAAGTTTAAATATTTTTACTGCGAGGAGCAGCAGCTGAGGCCGGCCGACTACAAGAATAAACGTCGAATAATGTCATATCTGCTATCGCTCTCTGTTTAGCGGAATTAAAGAGAAATAGCTATAAAGACTGATACGTGTCTGATACCCTCTGATTAACGCGCCTGCAGCAGTGATTGGTCAAATGTCTGCTAAAATCGGCCGGCCTTTTGGCAGTACATCAAGTTGTTATAGCGCTATCACCTTCTGTTTGTATAAGTTAGAAGGCAATAGCGATGAAACCGTACAATATTACGTTTCATCACTCCACTTCTGCCGTGCACTTTTCCATGCGGTTCCCCACTACCAGCACCGGCCGGCCGCTGTCTGTATATTGTGAATTTCTGCAGTCTTCACGTGGATGAAATTGGTTTAGGTTTGTTTCTAATTTCAGTAACAATGACAACAGTTAGTAAGAGAATTAGTAACTGATTTAAATTTTGATGCTGTTACACATCTATTAAATAATGACTTTCGACTTTTAACATACGATGATTAATTCCTGGGATATAAAAGAAATGACCCGTTCGGAGCCGCCCATGCAACATTTAATCGAAGCACGGAGCAATAATAACGTCAGCTCCGGTGCAATAGCATATTAATAATTAATAATTAATACAGCATGGTATGAAAATTATGAATGGCTGACGGGGAGCAAGTCAAAAAACAAACTATTTTGTTGATATTGTTTAATTTTTGAATATGATGTTGACAATAAATTCAAAAAAACTTCAGAAAAAGAGTTTTGCCTCTGGTCGTCTGGTACGATTGACATATTGAGTTACCGTGCTCTTTTGCCATCTTCCTAATTTCTCAACCCTGCTCCTGATGATGCTACTTACGAAAATGTAGAAGCCTCCGAAATTATTTCTGTCTTTAATTTTAATCATATACCTACCATCCACATCAGCATATGTTGAACGCAGTTTTTCAGCTTTAAAGCGAATTACAAATTTTACTAGAAACTCCATTAATCAAAATCGATTATCCAAATTATTCGTTTTAGCAATAGAAAAAGAAGTGCTTACAAACTTAACGGAAGATCAAAAGTTCTATAATCAAGTAATTGACCACTTTGCCAATACAAAACAAAGACGCATTGAATTGGTTTATAAAAATTTCTAATTTACTTTTTTAATTTTGTTTTTTACTAATAAATAGTTGTTGACGTTTCATGTTATATTTTTTGTTAGAATGTGTTACTTTATAACTTGAATGTTATTTTCATTTTTATTTGAGTTTATTGTCGTTATTTTATTATTATAGATGGCTTATATTGTATAAGTATATGCTTTACTTTATACCTATTTGAAGAATATTTTTTATTTTGTTTTACCAAGTTGTTAGGACTATATGAATTAACACCATACAGGAAGCAAATTATAGATAATGACTGACTTGAGGTCCCTGGTTCTTGTATTCTATGTCTTAAAACTTTGGGTTACTCACTGCTGGCCGACCCAACCAAAATAGTCACGAGCCGCCACTGTCATTCAGTATACCTTTTACAACTGTGGTGCTAGTTTGTGCTATGTGTGGTGATAATTTCATTCATGTACTATGTAGTTTCATTAGATTTAATTTAAATATATTTTAAAGTAATTTAGTTTTTCAATCACCTTTAAATACTGTACCATAGAAAACTGGGCCACTTTGACATAATAAAGTTTTAGTTCTTTTTTTTTAATATCATGCATTGCCATTACCGATTAGCAACTCTGATGACATTCACTAATTCCCTAGAGGAGTTACCACCCTAAATGAAGTTGCACATAGTTGCCTATGTTCAAAGATTTTCTTTATTTATTTTTCAGTTACGCGGCGTTGTTTTTTTTACCAGCGCAAAATTTTAATTCAAACTGGGAGACCACAATAAATACATGTTTTTTCCGTATTCCGTAATTTCATATTTTGAAATTAATATAGCCCCTCAAATTAAAGGAGGCAATCTGTAAAATGGTTTTCTTCAACAGCCAGTGTCAGCCGGTCATCAATGGTGCCCAAAAATTACTAAAGATAGTGAACCCTAGCTGGAAAATCGGTTTCATGTGTTTCATACATACGTGTTATTTATACTCGGTAAGGAAACGCTGTTAAACATTTTCGCAATGTTTCATCTCTGACTGAGGGAAGAAATTGGCATTATTTTGTTAAACAATGGTCACCACTATACTGACTAGATGTCACAGAATGTTCGTCTTATTTTTTTAATAAAATGGATTCGAAGAAAAAGTTCGTTGTGGTGTCTTGAATTTAAAATTTAAATTTCGCGCTGAGAAAAAAAAACATAGACAATGTAGACAAGCATATGCAAAGGAAATACAGAGTACGTAGCAGTGGCGGCTCCTCGGGGTGGGCAGGGTGGTCAATGCCCACCCTATTTGATTGTTTATGATACGAAGTAAAATATCGAATTTTTTTCTTTTTTAAAATATTTTATATGTATACACAAATAATAATTATCGTCGTAAACATCATTTAAGCTAACGGATTTTCTTCATTACATCCCGCAGTCTCCGCAACTGAGAAATTGCAGTTGTAAAAAAAGTGCGTCAGATCTCGACGTTATATGGTTCATGTGAGGATGGGCTAGTCCACCCTGGTCCACCCTCTTGATTGTAAGCAACGACATACGTTCGGTTTTCTATGTACGTAATTGAGAGTAAAGAATTCGAAACGCGCGTCTTTGCATATCCGTGTTTTCTTGCTTCAAGCGGGGCAGGACGCCCTGGCCTCAACGTATATCTCAAACGCTGCAGAATCGGATCTCTCGATATTCGACTCAAGGATTCAATAAATTAATTTCGATTTTTTTACTTCTTCTGTATTGTAAGAGTATAAAGGTAATTATTTTTATTACTCTATTGAAATATGGGTGTTCCGGTTCGAAGTTTGTTAATATTTTGTTTTGATTTTGTTTGTTTTCCCGCGGATTGCTGACAAGTGTATTTTGGTCACTTTCCACTAGAGGCGCCATAGTACCGAGCAAAAGGGCCCGGTACTTGGGGTTGGCGCTGTTATCGAAGAGAGTTATCGAGAAACCCTCAGAGAGGTAACATCGCTAAGGTGGGCGTTAAGTGAACGCAGTTGCCATCTTGTGTGACGTAAATCGCGAATTGTTGTCGCGAAACTTAGACACGTGGTTCCTTTGTGCATGCGGTCTACAAACCCTCAACCCAGGAGGCTGAACAAAACAAGGTAGGTGACCTTTTGATGCGTTTGTCAGCTTCGATCCAAATTTTAATATTATTTTTTTGGAATTGTAAAATCGCCGCGAAAAAAAGGTGTTTTCAAAGCCTTTACGTCCAACATATGGTCCTTCGAGCCGGATTTTAATATTATTTTTTTGGAATTGTAAAATCGCCGCGAAAAAAAGGTGTTTTCAAAGCCTTTACGTCCAACATATGGTCCTTCGAGCCGGATTTAGGGTAATTACGAGAGATTTGTAGATTCCAGCACAAATTTGTTGTGGTTTTGCTAAGCGTGATTAGCACGCATTTTCAATTGATTTTAAATTATCGGAATACGTAAATTCGAGTTTACATAATGGCTACCGTTGCCGCGCTAAGTAATGGACGCGCTAGTTTGATCAAACGCGTGGAGGCTTTAGTGAATCTATCGCAACAAGCCAGAGTCCACGAAACTGTACGAGGAGAGTTTTTTATTCGAGCTGCGGACTTAAACCATATTGTTGCCCAGTTTGAGCAGCGACAGTTGCAAATTGTCGAATTATGCACCACCCCTGAGGAGCTAGACGAACAATACGAGGTGCAATCAAGATTTGACGATATGCAGTATTCAATTAAATCGGTTGCAGCGGAATTAAATCGCGAGGCCGCGCAGTCATCCGCACCCAGGGGCAATTTAACATCAAACAACGTCAAATTGCCCAAAATTCAAATTCCGACGTTTGACGGTCAGATCAAAAACTGGCCCACATTTTATGATTTGTTTCGGTCGCTTATCCACAATAACCCAAATCTTAGCGCAATTGAAAAATTTCAATATTTGTCGACGTCATTGTCTCGCGAGGCGTCTACCGTCATCAAAAATTTGCCGATTTCGGCGGCAAATTATGCTATCGCATTCGATGCGCTGGTGGCGCGTTATAACAATAAGCGCGTATTATTGACAAATTATTGGCAAGCGATCTATAGTGCACCCAAAGTGAATGGAGATTCGCCGAATTTGTTGCGAAATTTGTTAAACGTGTTTTCTGAAAATTTGGCCGCGTTGAAGCAGTACGATGAAGTCGATTTGTGGGACTTCACGTTATTAAATTTAATGTTGCAAAAACTGGACACCACGTGGAAACAGAAATTTGAGTTGAGTATTGTAGGAAATTCCGTACCTGCTTACAATGACCCCCAAGAATTTTTGCTTAAACATTGTACCGCGTTGGAAACTTCCGTTATGACAATGGGTCATAATTCCGCATCCGCCCTTCGTAAACCCACAGCTGCATCTTCCGTACCTGCCAAGCGTCCCGTGACGTCATCGTTTGTCACGCGATCACCAATCAACAAGGAACAATGTCTTAATTGTTCGGATGAGCACCCATTAACGAAATGCGATGCTTTCTTAGAAATGGAACCACGGGATAGACATACTTTCGCGCGTAAGAAAAATCTGTGTTACAATTGTTTGTCGAGGGTGCATTCGGTTAGCAAATGCCCATCTAAATTAAACTGCCGGGTTTGTGATTGTAGACATCACACGTTGTTACATTTTGTCCCCAAACCTAGCGCCGAGCCGGAAGAGGTGTCAGGGATCTTTGGGGACCCATCGGTCGACGACGGGGTCAAAGTAATGACACTAATGACTAACGCGATCGCGACCCATAGTTTCACTTTGTTGGCGACCGCGCGAATAATTGTGGTGGATTCGCGAGGTAAATATCGCGCATTTAGGGCGCTTTTGGATACTGCGAGCGAGGCCACCTTTGTCACAGAGCGGTGTGCAAAGGTTTTAGGGCTCCCTCAAACTAACGCGGTGGTACCAATTCAAGGCTTGAATCAAATGTCGTCAAGCAGTACGTCGGGTGTATTGAAATGCGAAGTGAGGTCACATTTAGTGCGTAACTTTTCATTGAAAGCTGAAATGGTCGTTGTGCCTCAAATTTGTGGTGACGTTCCCACAAGGGCAGTGTCACAGGATCGTTTGCGACAATTTCGTCACATACGTAATTTGAAATTAGCTGACCCGGAATTCGGTAAGCCACAACAAGTGGATGTCTTGTTGGGTGCTGATGTTTACGGACAAATCGTGACATCCGGCTTCAGGAAAGGTGGGCTCGAGAAACCGTCCGCGTTAAATACTGTTTTCGGGTGGGTACTGATTGGGGGTGTTAAGCGTAACAAACAACAAACCGCGGTTAGGTCCTTTTGTACGTCCATAGACAACTCTGTAGACGCGGCATTAAAACGCTTTAGGCAGCGTGAGCAAGTCCCACAACGCAGTATGGTGGCCCCGCAAGACGCTTGGTGTGAGGAAAAAGTCACGTCGTCGATCGCATGTGACATCCAGGGTAGTTACCGTGTTCAATTACCTTTCGCCGACACGACGCCATCCATATTAGGTCGCTCGTCCGACTCAGCAGTGCGCCGTTATCTCGTCCCTGAGTCGCGCCTCTTTGCGGCCGACCTATTGTCATTTGCCCGGGAAACCCTCAAGGGTGTGTTGAACACACACAGGGTGTGTGCGTGGCCCGACTCAAGAGTAACGCTAACGGGAATTAAGTCGCGGCCCGGTCATTGGACCACTTTTGTTGCAAATCAAATCGCGCCCATACAAGGTATATTCGAACCTTCGGCATGGAATCATGGAAGCGGCCCTGATAACCCAGCCGACTGCGCCTCGAGGGGGTCACTCCTACAGGAGCTTGTCACACAGCCGCTATGGTGGGCGAATCCCACGTGGTTGGCAGGCACTGAGTGGCCTCTACAAGTAGACCTAGAAGTTCCTACCGGTACGGAACTTGAATTACACAGAAGGGAATTGCATCATGCGTTGTTAATACCTGTGCGAATGGTACAAAGTAAAGTGTTTGCCAATGAAATTCGTTCATTGCAAAAGAATGGCACGTGTTCAAAACCATTCTACGAATTGACCCCGTTCCTCAACGACGGTTTGATTCGCGTCACCGGAAGATTGCACCAAACGGAACTGCCCTATGAAACTAAGCACCCCTTGTTGTTGCCGCGCTCGCACAGTCTAACCGAACTAATCATAGAGGCCGCTCATCGGAAACATTTACATGTCGGATTCCGGATATTACAGTATTTGTTATTGCAAGCAGCGGCCGGTAACTGTACCTTCAAATGGCATTTTAACCCCCCGTCGGCCCCCCCTATGGGAGGATTATGGGAGCCGGGGGTCAAATCGTTCAAATCCCATCTTAAGCGCGTTGTAGGCGAGCAACCCCTAACCTTCGAAGAATTTAGTACCGTGTTGGCGCAAATTGAAGCCGTATTGAATTCGCGACCCCTGTGTCCCGCCTCCGCGGATAATCCCGATGAACCGTTGGAGACAATGTGGTTAAATCGGCTAAGTAGGTGGCAGCTCGTGCAACGGTTGCACCAGGATGTTTGGCATAAGTGGAACACGTCGAATAACCTGCCGTCGGTATTCAAGGGTGATTCGGTGGCCCCGTTGCAATGGCAACTTGGCCGAGTTGTCGCGCTGCACCCGGGAAAAGACGGTATAGTGAGAGTTGCACAAGTACGTACCACTTGCGGCATGATCACACGTCCTCGAGTGAAGCTGTGCCCGCTTCCTCGTCAATAGTTTTCACTCATATTGTTTATTTAGTTTAGTCATTAGTTTTAGATTGTGATTTAACCTCATATTGTGCTGGAACCTACGCCAAAAAAAAAAAAATGTTTAATTTTCTTTTGGTGGGCGGAATGTTCCGGTTCGAAGTTTGTTAATATTTTGTTTTGATTTTGTTTGTTTTCCCGCGGATTGCTGACAAGTGTATTTTGGTCACTTTCCACTAGAGGCGCCATAGTACCGAGCAAAAGGGCCCGGTACTTGGGGTTGGCGCTGTTATCGAAGAGAGTTATCGAGAAACCCTCAGAGAGGTAACATCGCTAAGGTGGGCGTTAAGTGAACGCAGTTGCCATCTTGTGTGACGTAAATCGCGAATTGTTGTCGCGAAACTTAGACACGTGGTTCCTTTGTGCATGCGGTCTACAAACCCTCAACCCAGGAGGCTGAACAAAACAAGGTAGGTGACCTTTTGATGCGTTTGTCAGCTTCGATCCAAATTTTAATATTATTTTTTTGGAATTGTAAAATCGCCGCGAAAAAAAGGTGTTTTCAAAGCCTTTACGTCCAACAATGGGTAAGGTAGTAAGGAAAATAATGTCATGCGAAAATTCTTGAATGCTATTGTTACAGAAAAGAGCAACACCATAATAATTAATAAATACTTTTTCATATCAAATGAAAACTTGTAATAACCATATTCTTGTATTATGACACCGTGTAAACTTTATAATGAATTATAAATTTAAAAATCCGAATAACCAATGATGAGAATAAGTAATATATTTATTATTGCAGTACGTATCTGACATGTGTATTTTTTTATTATTACATATGCATTTTTGTTTCATAAATATAACTGTAGCAGAGTCAACAAAAGTTAAATATACGCTTAATTTATTATTTGATTCAGACCGTTCGCACAGGTTTGTTACGCGTTCGCTCTAGCATGGGTGGGCAAATCCACCCTGAAAATCGGAAGCACTCGGCATGGTTCGTCCTCGTCGGAGACACGACTCAATTGAATTCAGTCAGATCAGAAACTGCATCGGAGATGGATAGTGCATTTAATTATAAAATGTAGCTATTCAAATTACCAAATAGTTAGGCGGGTACCAAAGTAGGTACTTTCTAGCAATTTTTTTTATTTGTACTACTGTAAGCTGTGCAAATAATATTAGAGAGGTGGTAAAGAAGGCATTAAAGACATTGAGTTTTTGTTTTTAATAAATAAATTCAGTAGTATGGAACTTGATATTTATGAATTATTTGTTTATAAATTAAGATTATGTCCCGAAATGAAACAATTGGTCATCACAAACTCTCGTGGCAGTAATAAAGGCTTTAATCAAAGTTCGGACAATAAATACTACCTACCTATTGGTTGATCGGTAGTGAAACAACAAACAGAACTGTTGGAATTATCTGCTATTTAACATAAAATTAAATTACGAACACTTTAAATTTCCACAAGACGAGCGATATAAAATATATTGCTACTGCTTTACAAAAACATGACCAATCTGAATAAATGAAAATTACTTGGAAAACGAAGTGAAACTATAGAAAATTCTCTTAAATTCGGCGTTTATTCGATATGATAATTTTCTTGGCTACACAAAAACATACATTTCGGGAACAAGATGAATCGCAAATTTCTCTTAAAGTAAATTCGATGATAAATTTAAAAAGTTTTTTGGAGGAGTCTTTGGTAATTAGTGGTCTTCAGAACGACTATTTTGGAATTATTTTTATTTTATTTGTTATTGTTAACTTTGTTAGTATTTTGAGAATTTATTTTTTGTTTAATTTGGCATTTTTAATTTTGCTTTTACAATAATTTTCCAAATTGCTGCTTTTTCTAAGTGTAGCTTATCTCAAAGGTTTAAAATTTAATGTTTTCTCGTCATGTTATTTAAAAATCTTTGCATGTTGGAATCATTATTTGAGTTTATAGTTCTATAAACACCTAACAAATCTATTTATGTGCTGAACCTTTTTTTTGTTCCTCTTTCCTCTTCTAGCAAGAGTCTTCGACGTTCTCGTTGGTTCTTGCTGACCGACATTCTAAGTAACATTTATAAAATAATATATATGTAATATACATAAAATATTTGTTATATTATATTGATTGACATGCAGCACCATAACAAAAACACGTTCTCACAAAAATGATTAATTATATATATGTATATATTTTTTTTTCATACATGTTATAACCTACCTATAATGCTTTGCCCACCCATCAAAAATCACCACGAGCCGCCACTGATTGTTGCCATAGTGGAACTGTAAAGTTTTACTAGGTATGTGTGAACTGAGTTAAGTTATACAATAGCCAGTTTGACTTATAAGGGTACTTAGGCTTAAGCTGCTTAAGTCATAAAAGTTTTACAAGGTGTATGTCAAGTGAATTTTTAATAATTCTTCAACTTTGACACTACAAAACCGAATGTTCTGAAAACTTGCAAGCGTTTTAAGGTATCGTAAGCATGTTAAATCGTCAATCAAATTTTTTTCGTTTATGCACCCCTAAAAAATGAAGACGTCATTTTACAGTTTTAATGAATAGGTACTTACATTTTATAGAATTGCATAGAAGAAGATGGCCGGAAAGGAATTATCCTCACGCCACTCTACTAGCTAAATTCAATTTTAGTACTCTACATTGCAGGCGTATTTGTAGTGCACCCTTATTTTTACACAAATTGTTAAACAATGTTATAGACTGTAGTGAGCTATTGGAAAAATTACATTTTTATGTGTCCAGGATTAATTCTAGATATGCAGTAACTCTTTCCAACAGATGTCCGCGTACTAATATTATACCTTTATATGTTATAAATTTTTATTTAAATATGTTAGAGAGTAGAGATAGAATTGATATTTTTTGTTGTAATTTACGCAGGATGAAACGTTTAATATTTGAGTTAAAATTAGGTTAATATAATTTTTAAGAATTTATATTTTTCTTTATTGTGATGTCTTACAGATAAAAGAGGTGTACTTAATTGATTTGTCCCATAAGTGGAATTATTTCTGTTGGGCAAATAAATCTTATTTATTATTTATTTATTTATTTATACTCCTGCATGTGTGATTTAAGAATCCGTCATGAGTTTTTATGTTAGATATCCAGATTTTTGGGGGAAAAATGTGTTGTACAATTTAACTTTGAAATTGCAAAACCAAATGCTTTGAAATCTTGTAAAAGTTTTAAGGTTATAGCATGGAGGTAGAATAAGAGGAGGGACGATAGCTCGAAAGCCCTTGGGGAGAGGCTGGACGTGCGATACAAAAATGAATTCGTGTTGAGTTTTTACCTTTGGCATCCAGATTTTGGAAAAGAAAACAAAATTTTATAACAATATTTTACAATTTAATTTTGGAATTGTAAAAACTGAATGCTCTGAAATCTTCCAAATATTTTACGGTTATTGGAAGCATGGTAAATCGTTGATTAAAATTTGCCCGTCTTCTTACAGTTTTCCCGAATATGTAATTGTTCTTCAAATTTATGAGTGTTTTTGGAAAAGACATAATCGAGTGTGATTTTATTAATTAATCAGTCCTCTTCTCTGCGTTGAGGAAAATTTTATTATTTTTAACTGCTGATCTGAACGTGATAATTGTCCAATTTTTTCGAAATATAAACATAAACAGTGGAACATGGACATATATACCTACCTGCTGAGAAATTGAGAGTATCTACATTATTTTTTCGGAAAAATTTTTAGATGACGTTATCCAATTTTTTAGGTGGGATAAACAGATATATTTTGATTACAAATTTACCATGCCTACGGTAAGTTTAAAACCAGTTTAAAACGTTTACAAAATTTCAAAACATTCGGTTTTGCAGTTTCTGATTGAATCAATAAAACAAATTTACTCATTCATTATTTTTTTTGAAATTGACCAACGTTTAGATGAGTTGAAATGCCATAAATGAACTAAGTATTAGCAATCTAGATTCAGGAACAGTAGAATTTACAAACAATAAACAAAAATTGATAACAGGTATTCCGACCAAATTTCACAACATTTCAGATTAGAAAAACATTAATAATAATAATTATAATTGCACTTGTGACAACAAGTGACGCATTACAATTAAAACGTTCCCATGCATTGCCATTACCGACTAGCAACTTAAAGTCTGATGACATTTACTAATTCCCTAGAGGAGCTACCACCCTAAATGAAGTTGCACATACTTACCTATGTTTAAAGATTTTCTTTATTTATGTTTCAGTTACGCGGCGTTGTTTTTGTTACCAGCGCAAAATTTTAATTCAAACTGGGAGACCACAGTAAATACGTGTTTTTTCCGTGTTCCGTAATTTCATATTTTGAAATTAATGTAGCAAGCTTAATCTGTAAAATGGTTTTCTTCAACAGCCAGTGTAAGCCGGTCATCAACGGTGCCCAAAAATTACCAAAGATAGTGAACCCTAGCTGGAAAATCGGTTTCATGTATTTCATACAAAGGTACGTGTTACTCGGTAAGGAAACGCTGTTAAACATATTCGCAATATTGTTTCATCTTTGACCGAGGGAAGAAATTGGCATTATTTTGTTAACGAATGGTCACCACTATACTGACTAGATGTCACAAAATGTTCGTATTATTTTTTTAATAAAATGGATTCGAAGAAAAACTTCGTTAACGGCACTGTGGTGTCTTGAATTTAAAATTTAAATTTCGCGCTGAAAAAAAAAACGTAGACAACGTAGACAAGCAATGGGAAATACAGAGTACGTAGTTAGTTTTAACACGTGTCATGACGTCACTTGTTGTTGTTTGTTGTGAATGTTAAAATTGGTATGTAGAACTCTGTAATTTCATAAAAGCGCAATTGTTTAAATAAAAACAAATCACATTCGACGCCACAGCCTCATTCAATTCAATAAGTATAATTAGTGTAAGAGCAGGGCGGGATGTTTGGGCTATCACAGTCTAAAATATAAAATAGAAAGGAATTATGATAGCGAACTGAAAATTTACTTCAGTATGTAGTAAAAAAGATTTTCTAAAAAACGCTTTAAGACATACACATATTCTGCTAAATATATATTTTTATTAGTTGAATTCATGTATAAATCTGTTTTATAAAATATATAAAGACTTATAAAGGCACAGAGCTCACCTTACATAACAATTCAAGATTATTGTCTTTTACGCATGTAGGCAATGCTATTATTATTGTCCATAAATATAAAAAGAAACAACGTTGTCCTTTAAAATGTTATTGTATATAAAACCTGTTATTATCTAGGTACCTCATGGCAAAAGCAACAACCCTTAATAACATTATTCTTACAAAATAAGTTAATAAATAAGCGTTTAAACATTCGTTAAATTTGCATAAAAAGTAGAAAAAGTATTATTATAAAAACCGCTGGGCAGATCTTGATACAGAACAGTAAAATCTAATATAATGACATACAGTATCACCTATAACAAAATGCCATAATATAATAAATTTGATCACAGAACAACATACATATTGTAACAGTTAAAGCACAATAAAATGTACAAACAATAATTTACGAGAAAGTCGAGTCAAGGAACTGATTGAAGAAGTAGGAGCCTAAATCTAAAAAGAAGGAACATTTTTTTCTGTCAAACTTCAATCTTCATCCTTGAAGCGTCTGTAGATGGACTGTACGTAAGTAAACACACATTTCCAGTCCGGTTTTCGGGTGGCTACCATGTCATCAACGTCAAGGAGCGGTGCAATGTCCGCCTTCTCACTAATAAGCGATTGTCTCGAGTTAAAAATCGGCAGAAAATTATACAAAGTTTGTTGAAATAGGTTTAACATTGATACTCTGCGATCTTTTATCAATTGTGGTAGGTATTGCTCACATCTCGTGTCTCTTGTACTGCTTTACCGATACAAGAACAGTATAAGTTTTTTTTATGTGCAGAAAAGTATTTCAACAAGTGACTTTATATTTATATACTCTGTCTACATCTATTATATTCTTTGATACTTACTCGGCCACTCGGAAGGCGAGCGTGAAATTATGTCTGCGATTTTTGGGCGATAGGGCATGGTAGTCGAACGCGTCCGGAAGGAAATGGTGGATGAGAGCACAAAAAGCTAATCCGTCTGCCCAGCTGGTGGAGAAGTTGTCTAGTTGGATGTTCTGAAATTTCATTTATTGTAAATGTATACAACTGGATACTTCAATTTCTTTCCTTTTGAAAAAACAATATAAGAAAACAAACAAAGCAGTTGCGTTGTTTAATGGCACACGGAAATCACAACAGAGCCAGTTAAATTAAGCTTCTAAAATAAAACAACACACAGTCTCTCGTTTCATACCTCATACTCCTTAGTCTTCATTCTGCACCAATGTAACAGTCTATCTTTGATGGTACTAGCACTTTGGCTCACTGCTGGGTCAGTGAATTTAAAAAGGGGGCCACTGCCGGAGGGGGTCTTAGGGGTACTGCAGACCAAGCCAAGCATTAGTGTTGAAAGCGATTTCAAGCCGAAAGTTAATCGAAATATTTCAGAGAAGAGCTTGTTATTGGGTTTTAGCTTACCTTGGGGAGTTGAGGCTGTTTTGTTTGTCCAGTTGTCGAAATTTGGCAAACGGAGAGATGGGCTTTTTCGACTGTACTTGCTGTGTTGTCGCCACCCTAGTGGTGACTGAAACCAGTTACTCGGATCATTATTGTTATAAATATCATCAACAAAACATGTTTTATTTAAACCGATACATAATAATATATTGTATCAAAACAAAAAAAATGAGAGTTAATAACTCCTCTGTTAACATCCATATTCATTTTTTTCCAGTTTAAATTACTTGGAATAAAATTATTGCCAAAATTATTATTATGCTTACCATGTGACGTCACAGGCCCCTCCGTAAAAGTTTTCTTGGTGTGAGTGGCTTCTGAAAATAATGAAAAATGTGTCATCAGCAATTATCGTAAATGTTACCATCAAACAAAATGAATTAATCACATGAGAAAAAAAGTGTTAGAAGACAAAACTGGTGTTTAATTGGGTGCAACAAAAAATGATGGGGTGGGACTGAAGACGAAAAGCGGGCACGCCATAGCAAGTGCTTTTGTGTGAACATAAAAAAATCTAAATGCGGCTTGATCAGGTGTTATAGGGTGTAACTACAAAAGACGCATTTACACAACTTGTGTGCAAAAGAAATCTGTGGCGCTGGCGTGGCTGGCTGGCGTATTATATACAAGGTGGGGGGGTTCACAGTTAATGGGTGCGCACACCAACACACTCTCACCCTTGATATCATCTCGACGACCCCCTTTCTTTTCAAAACGTTCTGCGATTGGTGTGCGCACTCCAAACACACCAATCACCGACGCCTTTTTGTCATCAACAACAACAATAAACAACTTCTAGAAGGGTTTTGTTCGTAATAACAGTTGGGTTTCGTTCGACTAAAAACTCTTACAATCTAAACATTAACAAAAAACTTCCACGCAGGAATGGAATGCAGAGGTGCGCTTTTCCTTACTTGGTTTTTGTTTCGAAAAATTACGTGCTAGACTTAAACAGTTCTTCGAAAGCTCTGTCGACATTGGTTTCGTCTAGCAACTGTGGGCAGACTATGTCAGGTAAAGTGCGACTCCTAGATAAACCTGACGACTGCCGGATTGACAACACTTTTTCTGATGTCTTCAGTCTATTAATCGCCCTTTTGGTAGGCTTAGTTTCGCATTTGGTGCTTAGGTTTTCATTTGACGAAGTCCTGGAAAGTGACTGAGGCGACTTGCTACCTCCAAGGAATGCCTCCATCGTCTTCTTTTTGTGGGCCATTTCGTCTTTGGACATGCCTGCTTCGAACTGTTTCGGAAGTGCCAAAGAGTGACTTGATTTAGATTTTGACACCGTGCGAGCATTGGGAGATGCTCTTGGTGACGGTTTATGTAATGGTTGTTGGTTTTGAATGCAAATTTGGTTCCAAGAATCAGCTTTGTTTGCAATTTGTGCTTGATTGGGAGGTCGTGGAGATTCAGGTTCAGGCACGTTAATCACAGGAATTTGGAACTTTGATGTCACTATTGACTCACCATCATCATTAATTTCTAACGACTCAATAGGAACAGGGCGTTTTCCACTCCTGTAGTGACTACTACTGGAGGAAACTGTATCCCTTTGTGAGTACGAGAAACTATGAGGTGAAACTGTTTTTTTAGGCTCTTCGCGAGGTCGGTAACTAAAACTGTTTGGTGATACGATTCTCGGTGGCTGATCTTTAAATCGGTAATCGTAGTTCATAGGTGACATTATTTTTGGAGGTTCGTCTCTATAATTAGAGCTGAAGGTGTTGGCAGCAGTTTGTGAGTAAGTTGGTTCCACATTTCTATAACTGTTATTATTGGGACTATACCCACTAGGAGAGCTGTCATCGCTCCTACAACTGTAATTAGTAGGCGAAGCAACATTATGGTTTTCTTTAGATTTGTAAGTAGAACTCGTTACTGGAGAAGTGTCTTTCTGCGAATCTTGTTTTGTATACGAGCTTCTTCCACTATTGTTCTGTACTTTTTGGGGAGAACTGTCTGGTCTTGGGCTTACTTTCTGTAACGCATTTCGAAGACTAAGAGCTGCTGCAATCTCATGTTCATCTCTATTCATAGGCGATTTCTGACGAATTGTCGTAGCTTGTTGTGACACCGGACCCGTCATTACTCTACTGCTAACAGCGTTATATTCCTTTACACCTTCCACTGACACTTGGGTATCAAGTTTTGGTGGGTGAGTTTGCGAAGGTACTGTTTCTTGTTTGTCTTCAATTTTTTCTTGTTGAGGTTCTTGTTTTAACTTTTGATTGTGACTTGGTGGTGTTGAAATTTGAGGTTGGTACTGATATGTTGAAGTATATTGTGGCTCATTGTATTGTTGTTGATTAACGTGATAATAATTTTGAGCAGGTGTTGGTGTAGTAACATGACCATAGCCCTCAGGCTCACTGGCCTTGTGATTTTCTTGAATTCTTGTTTCTGATTTTTCTGGGTAGTAATCTTGATGTGAACTACTCCTGGAATAATTTTCTTGGCCATAGTTGGCATTTTGATTTGCATTTGTGTAAATTTGCGATGTATAAACATGATTTTGAGAAGGATGATGAGATTCAGATGAATGTTTTTGAGGATATTGATAATACTGTGTTTGATTTAGTTGACCTTGATTCTGATTTTGTTGGGGATAATATTGTTGTGATGCAGCCACATAGTTCTGATTGTAAGTGTTTTGTGGCGGAACTTGATTGTATTCTTGCCGAGGTATATATTGAGTTGACACACCATACTGACTTTGATTTCTTTGTGGAATAGGTGGTTGGTCGTACCCACGATTATGATGATGCTGAGATGAAATTCCAGAATTATGATTATCAGTCTTTGGATGTTGAAAGTGCTGTTGCGAATAATCATAACTGCGTCTATATTCACTGCCTGCTGTAGAAGATTGCTTTGGATTGTGATGCAAAGGTACTTGTTGATTGTATTGATTGTTATGATGATGAGACGTTATTCGTTCGGCTTGAGGCGAGGTATATTTTACTGTGCTGTAAGTAGAATAAGCATCACTACTTTTACCACTGTGATCATAATGACCACTTAATTGCTTCACGGTATTAGATTTTTTTTCCGCAGTTTTTACAAGATACGGAGCACTCAATTTTTCTGGTCCTGGTTGCGATGAAAAAGGTAAAACTATTTTATCTTTACTCAGTTTCCTAGGTTTCATGGGAACAGGTTCTGGTGGAGCAACATTTTCAAATTTAGATGCAGCTAAGCTCAAAACACGACTTTCGCTCGGATTAGCCACCCAAGGCTTTAGTGATGATTCATTTGCCGGCTTAGGACTGTACAAGTAAAGTGGTGAATCTAAATCTTTTCCTTTGTCGTCTGATTTGACAGAAACCTTATTTATCTGAAGATTAGGTGGTGGAGCTTTTTTAGCAATCGGCTTGAAAGCTGATTGTGGTGCATGCGAGAACTTATTGACCGGCAGGGGTTGAGGTACAAACTTATAAGTTTTTTCAGAGTTAGGTTCGAAAGCTTTTACTTTCAGTGATCCAGTAACAATATTTTTATCATTTTGCGTACTACTCCATGGTAATTTTTGTGATTGTTTTTGCTTCTCTTCAAACATTTGTCTTAAATTTCTTGCGCTCTGTTTGCTAATTTTAGGTCCGTCGTATTTAGGACCTGAAGTTATAGCATCGTCTGCGCTTTTCCAAAACTGACGTGCAGAGTTCTGAGACTGAATGGGACCAGACGACGCTTTTTCGAAAGCAGTTTTTATGTTTCCAAATTTATTGCTCCAAATAGTTCCTTGGTTGGTTTCAGGCTTTGACCAAAGAGAACTCTTGGTTAGTTCCTCTTTTACTGTAGTATTTTCGGTATGCTTGTTGATAAAAGCCAAAAATTTTTTATCATTGTCCGTTTTGGGTTCAAATACAGGTACTGTGTTCTTAGTATTTCCAGGATTACCTATTCTGATGGGCCCTCGTAATGCTAAATAATTACTTCTTCTTCTTTGATGATAATCTTCATCTGGTAAAGAACAGTCACTATCGGCGTCGTCTTCATAAAAATTGAGAGGTTTAGGTATATCGATAGTGTTTGCTCTTTTCATTTTAAGTTTTTTCGTGTTAAACTTATTACTTGTGTCCTCATTTGAATATTTTTGATAAATTGGATTCGATTGCATTACGATTTCTGTTTGTGGTAGCTCTTTATACTGTTGAACCACAGGTTCTTTTTTAACTTCTACTTTTACCATTTGCGTTCTCATAGTGGTATCTTCATCTGTTTCTTCCGATTCTAGAAGGTTTTCAGTGCTTTTTCGTGCCGCTGCATTCTGTATTGCTTGTTGCACGGATTTAATACTGACATCTCCAGAAGACGACCTTCGAATGTTGTGCTCATCTACAGAAGTTGATCTAGATGAGAAATCAGTTTTTTTGTCAGTTACTTCTTCATTAAACAGAAAGTCTAATGATTCTGTAGGTGTTTGCACTGATGACGAATTTCCAGAAATCGTACTATTAGAACTGCTGAAAGGTTTAGCGACCGCATTTCTTACAACACTCTTCTGTGGCAAAAAGGGTTTGAATGAACTAGTTACATTCTGACCGACGCTGCCTTCAGAATTCTGCTTTTGCAGCATCGTAATTTTTGTTCCTGACGACTGCGGGGTCAATTCGTGCAAAGAAATCTCTTCGATTAATCTTCTGGCGTCTGCTAGTTCCTCACTGCTGACCCCCACTGTGTGTCTATTAGGTCTTTGTCTTCTTCTAAAACGACCTTGCACACTAGAACGCCTTTGCTGAGTAGGTACGGATGCTGAAAGACCAGCTTGCAATTTTGTCACTAACTGAAGAAGAGAACTACGTCGTTCAGGTGTTATATCGGTTGCGTCATCACGCAAATTTGCCGATAATTTATCTAGTGCATTTTGCACTTCTGCTATTAGACCACTGCGTTGGTCTTCGCCTGATTCTGTTCCCGAATCAGCAGTTTGTTCATTATCAGGAGCTTCGAGTAAGCCCTGTAGAAGAGGAAGTAGTTGAGACTCACCCTCGAACGTGGCGGAAATTTGATCCTGACTGGCCTTATCAACTAATTCTGTGCACGCTGAAATATCTATTGTTGAAAGTAACGTGATGGAAGTGATAATTTAAATTATTTACCTTCTTGTTCTGCCATTACTTGGCGTAGCCTAGCTCGTATTTTTTTGCGTTCCTCGTAGTCAGTACTTTGTTCTAGCTGAAATGGTTGGTAACAGAAATGAGATGTTATTGCAAATGTCATATACTTTACCAATAATCGCAGTGTTTGCTCGTCCCAAACTGTATGAAGATCTTCGTCGGTGATGGGGTGCTGGAAGACGCGGCTTTTCGTGACTTGCTTTCCTCCTTCCTAAAATGGGTTATGATATGAAACTCATTACAAATGTCAATAGTTAAATAACGCGAATTGATTTCGATTTGTAGCTATTATATCCTTTCCAGTTATTTTACATTAAACTTAAACGTAAAAAAGAAAGTTAATAGATATTTTGAAAATATTTTTTTTCTGTATTTGGTTTTTCGACATAGAAAGAATTAATTCTACACTTTCGATATCAAAAATTTATCAGTCAGTTGTTCAAAATGACACTGCATTCATTGTCACTTTAACTTTTCGATATACATTTCTTTTTAATGTGAAAAGTAGTTACGTTATGGATGGAGTATTGTACAACAGAAAAGGAACGTGCTCTGCTAAAATTGTACAACAATGAAATTTCTGCGTCACATTCAAAAGTCAAATACTTAGACGTAGGAAAAGTTGGACAATTTTGTAATTAATTAAATACATTCTTTTTGTGTGATAACAACAATTTATAATTTCAACCAAAGATAAAGTACATTGTCCGACATTAAACTGAGTATGATTTCGTATTTTATTATTAGATATCATGTTAAAAAATTAAATGATTATAAATAAAAAAATAAGAGTTGAATAAAAGTTAAAAAAGTGTCTTTCAATTAATTCCCTATAAAGGTTTTCATTGCAGTTTGGAGTAAAATAATTATGAAAGAAAGTATTTTCATTGTTTAAATTCATAAGTAACATTTGTATGTATTAAAATCACTTTTAACCAGGTAATGAGCATTTTACAGACAAGAAAAGTTGATAGTTATTCATTAGGTTATGTAGAAAAGTATTTCTACTCTACATTTTTTTCCTCTATTTTTTTTTTCCATTGTATTAATTAATAAACGCCTATTTATTTGTTATTTATGAATTAATTTTTTGAGAACATCTTATATTTGTTTTTTAAAATAATTTTGTTAAATACTTAATTATTGTTGAAGTTTTTGGCTGGATCTTGGTTCAGTATTAATCTTTTTGCATTGTACACATGAACACCTTGCTTTGCAATAAAAATCATTTTTGTGCTTCAAAAATGTATGAACAAAAATAACAAAATTAAAACAATTTTTACTCCTCTGATTCTCTTTGTGTACATTTTGCGTACTGTATTATTAAATTACATTGTTTTTTGTTTGGTAGCTTGTAGTTGGAGTTAGAGGAATCACTGTAGTCTTGTCATGGTATCAGCAAAGTAGCTTGTATAAAAAAAACATAAGTTTCTGTCTTTACTCAAATATCTCATTTCGGCAAAGTTAGTTTTAACCGACTGAAAATCATAACTCTGTAAAATTTAAACAAGGTTTAGTGTTAAATAGTCCGTGAAGATAACTGAGGGTTTAATATTGTTTAAAAATATTTACTAATGTTGTATATATTTTTAATCTTAACTCTAACGACTTAGTAGAATTTCGTTGTATTTTTAATATGGTTTATGGTCAATGATCGTTTTTTGTTGAAGATCCATCACCGATTAAAAATGGTAACTGGAATTTTACGTAAGCGATCAATGAAACGATACTTTTATAGGAAATCGACAAAAGTTAGAATAGTTTTTAAAAAATACTCTTATAATTTTTTGTCAGCAGATAAAGGAGTCAAGTGTTTAATGGTGTCATTATCTAAATTCATATTGCAGTCATATACATAAATAGAAAAACGACAATGAGAATGAAGAATTAAAAATTATATGTTTAAAACATCTACTGTCAGTATCTTTAAATAACATGGATTTTACTGAAATTCTGCCAGATATGAAAATGAAAATGTAAACGTAAAATTCTTTTGTCTCTTTAAAAATATATTTTCTCATTGAAGAATTGCTTGCATATTTTTTGAAATTATATAAACTTTATAAACAAAAAAAAAAACAAAATAAATAATACTGATAGCTCAAAGAGAGGAATAACAATAAAATCCAATCATTAGTGTCAAGGTGGATTATCGGGTGCTGTGGATCTTTGAATGCTTTATATCAACAGTTGAATAAAGAGAAACTGTTTTTTTTTAATAGAAATTGTTTTGTTCTGTATTTAACAAAATATATCTGTTATTTACGTTACAAAGTAGCATAAAAACCATTATTACTTACGAGTGTGCAATCTAACCGAGTTGTGTAATCACAAGGATAAGACAATGTGTTAGCCCACGCGTAATGTGCAAAAAGATTTTAACTTATGCTAGAAAATAATTTAAAAGACTGCGGTAATGTAACTTATTAGATAACTTGCATGGGTGTCCTAAGTTAAATTTATCCTACTGTCGTAGGTAAAATTCAAATTTATTTGAAATTATGAAATTAGCAGACATATATGAATATTTTACGTTTTATTGTTTTGACTGTGTATTTTTTTACATTTTTAAGACGTGATGATGAAATGTCGTAGCAGGGAAGTGTTAGACGCTATAACAGATTTTAGTCTTTACAAAAAAAAAACAGTTTTTCTTTTCTCAAACATTAGATAATTTTGCTAGCACGAGTGACAATGCCCATTAAATAAAATTTTAACCTTGCGGTATGTATGAACATATTTTTTACGTTTGCTTGAGACTTGAACATTAATATAATAATAGGAAAAATAACAACTATATTTTTTAAAGGAATTATTGCATTCTAGGTTACACCCTCAAGTTTGTTATTATATTTTTTTTGTAAACGGTAATAATAATAATTAAAATAAGACAAGTGCGTTGTTGAAAGTTTCAGCATAACGTTACCGTTACCGTTGTCTTTTTTTAAGTCTGCACTTTCGTAGCTAAAAAAAGTATTCTTAAATATCTCATATTTTTTGTTATATCGCCTTTAATGACCAAATGCTTGACTCAAGAATGTATATGTTCTAGTCACCCTTTTATGGCTTTAATAGTTTTTCCGTAAATGGTATAACGCAGTCTGTTTACAGAATAGCGCACCAAATATATAAACAAAGCAAATTAACTCCAGGAAATTTCTTTTGTTACTTTAGGTAATGCGAAATTTATTTTTGAATACTTGCACTTGCGTCACATCACATTAGTGCCAATTATAAATTTTAAAAGTTCTACGAAATGGCAACATACCAGAGACATGTTTAACAAAAATATCTCCAGGTAGTGAGATAATGTTTTCTGGATAGTTATTTGTAATTCTTGTGTCTAACATTCTCACTGAATTCATTGGTCAAAATTTCATCACACGAGAACTATTAAATAAATATCAAAAAATAAATTGTCAGACCGTTCCAAATATGGTCACCAAAAATTCTCCTACGACAAAGCCAAGTACAACGGAGGTTCAACGACTTAAAATATTCAAGTTCTAAATATAAAATTCTTTTAAAAATAAAATGATGAAATTAGCACTTATTTTTGCACTGATTAACATAAAAAATGTAGTCAGTTTTCAAATTCAAAAAGCACTGTAATTAGGAACAGAACATTACCAATAATTTAGATCATCAGATTATTTCATTTGGTTCAAAGGTGTAAGAATCCGGAAGAACATTTCACTTGCCATTTTAATTAAATCATTTTAAACAAAAAAAAGTGCAGTATTCAGTGCGGTGGACGGACTTTAGTCCTCCCACCATCTTTTTCCGTCGCTTATCGGGGCATCGTTGAAGACAAAGACGCCGAACGTCCCGACGCTGCGCATGTCTGACTAAAACGTCTTATTGACTCGCCTATTTTGGTTAGAACCACCAACGAACTATTCTGCTGGCGTTCGTCCCGTAGGAAATTCACACATTATTTTCACAAATAAATCATTGCGATACTAGACATGACAAGGTTAAATCTAAGCGCTAATAACGAAAATTGAACGCAAAAAGAGACATTCGCTGGATGGTGAAAATAACAAATAAGCGCATAAATATCTCGCTGCGTGAATCACTAAACAAAGGGTCTGCGTTCTAACTTTAAGGGTATTTTTGGAGGTTGTGCGCAATTATTCTAAATTGGTATTACTTCCTACAACTTTCTCTGTACTCGAAATAGATTGGACTAAATCGGGTTTTATGGGTTCTTGTACGCGCTACTACGCGCCCTGTTTCAAGTTCAGATTTATTTCTCCAGAAAAGTATTGAAAGTGTTAGGAAAATGCCGGCGAAAACAGCGACGTGCTCGTTGCATCGTGATGACTATAAATATTTGACTAATTATAGTACACAATATAAACATTTTTACAGTACATTTGCTAAATGATCTGAATTTATACTTGTCGTTAAAAAAAATTGTAAACTGACAAGCAATAATTTGCTTACCTAATGATTTTTCGGAAAACTTTGACTTGTTAATCCTTTGGTTTTCAAAATTTGTAAGCTGTGTGCTCAGACGCTCACTGCACTAAAATTCAAGAGCCACTGAGGGCCAACACCGAGAATCTGAACAAGCGTCGTCGTGTTTTGACGTCATTCCTCCAAAATTAGTTGCGGCGCGTCTTTAATTTGCATTAGAGGACCACATAAGTCGGCAACCTTACGATAGGTGCGTTTGTACGAAACAGGTAAAGTCTCACCGTTGTTCTTTTTTTATCCCCAGATCTTCCCCTTTTTTTTTGTTCTCGATTTTGCTTTTTTCTCTCATGATCGCACTTTTTCTTTTTGTTTTTCAGCAAGTTGAGTTTTTCAAAAAAACTCAGGTTGCTGAAAAACAACCTCAAAAATAGAGCTGCGGTGACACTTCACCTTTTTCATTTACGCTATAACATAACTGAGATTTAAATCTACTAGAAAAAACTTACTGTGATTGTTGTTGTGACTTTTGTGCTTCGTTTAGCGTTCGATGTCGTTGTAGATGCTTTAACATTCGATTCGATGCCCGATAGAATCACTTGGGCACCAAGGAACTTGTTGAGGAGGCCTCTTGCTTCTACATCTTCCGCGCTATCACCTTCGCGAATATCTAAAATTTGAGGAACGAATTTATGACAATGAGTTGTCTTTTTGAGGTTGTTTAACGTGTTTGCGATATTTTTAGAACGGAGAGCTTTGCTCGTTACGAACAAAGACATATTTTCCACAATTTTATGTTTTGTGTTTGGTATACCAAACAGCCTGCAAAACGTACCTATAGAGATAATACACGTGCGTTTATAGGTTAAAAAAGTGGTTTCCCTTTATTTTCGTGTTAAAATAAATCTTAATGATGAATACATAAAAACAAAATAAAAATTTACAAATAAACAAATTAGCAAATTTGGTGCTGTCATTGTGGACCGTGATCGTGAGAGGACATAGCATGTCCTGTACGCTGAACCAACTATTTTGGACATGGTTGAGAAAAAGCCTCAAGCAGCGTCAGAAGATTAGGACACCGGGTACTGGCTAGATGTTTCGCCATTTATTGTTTGGCCAACTCCAAACGAACAAGGCCTTCGAGCCTACCATGTTCGACGGGTTCAAGCCTTTAAACCAGAACACCTACCCCGAAGAGTAAGATTTTGTTAGTCGTTAGTTAAACAGAATAGAGGTAAACCACATTTTGTAGAAAAAATCTCTAGAGATGAAGCAACTTTTATGCGAGACAGGGTTTTCAATGTCTATAATACGCATATCACGTCGGATCAAAACTCCAATGCGATTCATGAGACATATTTTCAAAACCCATTTAGCGTTAATGTATTGGACAGGACTGATTTTTTTTATTTGTTTGATTTTTCCGTTCTGGAGTTAGATGTTAGACAAATTCAAAGTTTCATATTTTTATTTACGTTATTTGAAAAAAAAAAAGGTTTTTTTACGTTTGCCACTCTGAGTTTTATTGGACTAACAAAAGATTTTGCTATTTACACAAGATATAAAAAATTCTTTTCATAGATATCCGGAAAACCTACTAAATTAACTCCTAAAGGCTTTCTGGATTGTTTCCGGAAGTTGTACGGTTGTAGGTGACCATTATAAAACTTTAAGTTTTTGTCTCCCTTATATATTGTTTCCACAAAGTCATTTGAATTTGATCCACTATTTTCTCAATTTCTGTTTAGTTTGAGTACCACAATGGACTTATATCACTACTCTTCTTATGTTAAATTTTGCAATAATTCGTCAAGAGACCTGACAATTTTTTAGCATTTTACTTGTCATTATCATTGCCACCGGGATTTTTGTGGCTTCATAGTGGCTAAAATTTCGAAAAGTACATTAAGTACAGTGGTGGAAATTTAAAGTCGGGCACCAAGCTGACATTTTCACCAATTTTGGTAAACGCGGCCTTTATTACCCATTTTACCTTCATGATCTCCACGGTGATTTTGTATTCAATCAAATTACAAATTTGACGTTAAGAAAATTCTGGTTTCCTAGGACTCTAAAACAATAATAAAGTCATATTTACAGTCGTCAAAAAGTTCTGCCCGACCCTAAATTTCCCCCACTGTACTTATACGCCTTCCAATTTATCCGTGGCGTCAAAAAAGTCTGAATTAGGGGTGATTATCCCTACATTAATTTTAATAATCTTAGGCTCACTGAACTAATCAAATTTTTTGTACATGTATTTAAAAAATTATTATATTATAAATCACTGTAAGGGTTGCACATTAATATGATATTTTACATCACCTTCTGTTTTCATTCGGCTTATAACATCTTGTACTCCAGTAACTTTGCTGCGGTTCGTTAAGAATGTTTCTCCTGAAACAGTTCGGGTTGTGGAGGTTTTAACATTTGTAGTTCTTTCTGTAGATCCTTCGCGACTATCACCACTACTTGCAGAGTCCTTGAAGCTAGAAGTGCGCAAGATCAATCCTGCCTTAGGATAGGATGACTGCCTTTCATTCTTCGAGGTCTCAACTAAATATAACACATAACATAATTCATTAAAATAAACAAGTATTATTTTGAAAGCAATTAAGTATTTGTGCTGAAAGTGAAACAATATTTACCAGCGTTATCAATGAATTTTTGCGATAGTGCTTTAACTGACCCTCGTCTGCTAAATTTAGAACTCTTAGTTTCAACTTCATCTTCTATTTTTTCGCAAATTTCTTTTTTCTTTTTAGAACTTGTTAAACTGCTTAGTGAAGGGGTATCTTTGTAGCCAAATTTCTGTGTTGTAGTTACACTTGTAACTCCTTTAGTGTTTACATTTTCGTTTCGTCCCAAATCTCTGGGGTCGCTCGAATATTTCGTTACGCTTATCTCACCAATGGGCTCTTGTCCGTTTTCGGAATAGTATTGGCTCCTTATCACCGTTCCTTGAACTAAACATCGTTACAGCGCATTTATTAAAGTAAAAGTAACCTCAGTACGTTCGAGTAATACATACCTTTAGTTGTGTCAGTTTTAGTCGGAACTCTTAAAGCTTTCAACCCAAACAAAGGACTACCATTCTCATCTGTAGGCCCTACTCCGTAACTTGACGTAATACTATCTGTCGGTCTCATTTCTTTAACAGGACTAGATCTACTTTTCTTAGAAGTTGCTGTGGTAGTTGTTTTTGTAGTGGTAACTGTACTGTCGGTAACTTTTCTTAAATTTCTTTGCTTAACCCACTCTGGTGTGGTATCCTCAGTTGTCGTCTTAGAAGTTGGAGTAACTTTCTTTAGTTGTGTTTGGAATGTTTTAGTAACTTTCGTTTCAGATTTATCAGGCGTTCTGTCGGTGGTGGATTTTCTTTCAGGACTTTGTCTGATTGGGTGGGTACGTTTAAGATCTGGACTCTGGCTTCGTCGTACTAATTTAACTAATTTAGTTTCGGGACTTTGACTTCTCCTTGATATTTTTGTATACTCAGAAGAACTTCTGCGTTCGTTGTAAGTGTATGCAGAAGAGTGGTATTCGGACGTTCTTTCAGTACGCTCTCTTGACTGTTCAGTAATTCTTACGGGACTTTTTACTCTCGTCGTAATTGTTTTAGTTACTTGATCTAATTTACCCTCAGAAATCAGTTTCTTAACTACACGTATTTGAGTTCTAATTTTCCTTCGTATATCATAACCAACAACTTTTTCCAACTGAAACACAAAAGTTAGTTTTAAAAAAGCAATTTTTTGAAACTTACCAGTTCCTCTAAGTATTCTAAATTGTAAATTTCTTCCACCTCTTCTTCTGTGATTTCTACATTCACAACTCTCTTCGTAGTCGTTGTACTGCCTATTTGCCTTCCTGAGTCAGTTCTCTTCAAAGTAACTCCAAATTTCGTGTGACGGACGTCTTTATTCTCTTCTTCTTTATTTATAGTTTGCTTTTTATTCAACTGATGGATGTTGTCGCGATGTGGACTATTTGGTCTCAAACTTCTATCTAACGGTCGCATATAACCAGGAAGATCCCCTTCGGGAGTCATTGATCGTCTACTATCTATTTCGTAAATTTTTTCTGGGGACTTAGGCCTTGGTCGTGCTTTTTCTAGAAGCAATTTTGTCGATTTTAAAGTCTTTTCGTCATCTTCATGTTCATAATCTAATCTTCTGGAGGTTTCAGTTTTGATTTTTCTTCCTTCGAAAACTGATGGTCGACTTAATATATCTCGTTGTTTGAGAATAGATTGATCTTTGTCGACATTTTCAAATAAAGCTTTAGCTCTCTTAACACTGTCAGTGCTTCTTAACCGACCCGTAGGGCTTAGTACTGATTTTGGTTCTTCTTGACTTGGTCTTCTTGTCGATTTTGGCGTAGAATCAGGGATTTTCGGTGAACTATCTCTCCGAGGATATTTACCGTGTTCTATGTCAGTTGTGGCAGAGGGATACTGGTTACTGGGCCTTCGTGTGGGTGTTGTTTCTTTTGAAGATCTCCTACGTTGAGGTTCTTCGGTTTCATGTGGTTTTTGTGCCGTGGGCTTTACATCAATTTTAGATAAAGATATAGTTTTCTTTGAATCAGTTGTTAATTTTTCTGCAGTGTTTATAAATTTCGAAACTTTATCAGAGACGCTCAACAAACATTCGTCCTCTTTAATCGTTTCATCTACATCATCGAAAGTAGGTCTTTCTACTTTAGGAGCTGGTCCCTTTTGTGTTGTAATGACTTTTTCAGCAGTCGTAATGAAGTGAGCAACTTTATTAGATACGTTTACGTCGTCTTCTGGGTAATATTGACATTTGGGACTTTTAGGCCTTTGAGGAACATCCTGTGCGGCTGTTAACTGTTCCGCAGTTGTTATGAACTTATTTACTTTTTCGGAAACGCTCAAGAGACATTCGTCTGACTCTAAATCTTTTGTTACTTCTAATTTGGGTCGTTCCACTTTAGGAGCGGGACTTTGCTTACGTCTGGCAGTTTTATCGGTTGTAGTTGAAAATTTGTTTATTTTCTTGTCGATGTTTGTAAGAGTGATGTCTGTTTCAAAAACTTGGTTTGATTCAGATGTGTCGACGATTTCTGTAATTCTACTGAATTCCGTAACATCTTCGTTTTCTAATATGGGTAAATCTGAAAGCTTTTTGGGTTTACGTTTAAGACTGGAATCATCTGGTTCTGCGATTTGATCAGGATACCTGGGAGCGCTTTCATCGTCAGAAGATACAGGTAACGGACAAATACGGTCAGGAGTTGGTTCACGAGAAGATTTAGATCTTTGCAAATCTACAATTACCTCTCTATCTGCTGTTGTGTTGTTTATAATAATTGATTTTGTAGTTATACATTTTTCTTGCTTTGTTTTTGGCAAAGTGGGTTCTGGTTGAGGTGTCTTTCTAACTGGAGTTTTCCTATCTGGTTTCTTTTTAATGACTTGATCGGAAGTACCGCGAATAATTTTTTCATGTCTCGTAACTGTTGTAATTTCTTCTTCATTTAAACTGTCATCAAGGGATTCTTCGTCCGAGGAGATGTGTCCGTTTTGTACTTTCGGCTTTTTCTTTAACGGTTTTGTTTGTTTCGAAATCAATGGAGTTCTGGGTGTTGTAGATTTAGATGGGTGTAGTTTACTTGTTGGGCTCATTGTGATGGTGGTAGTAACTACGTGTCTTTTCGGGTTTTTCTGTTCAGTTGTGGTACTTGTACGTTTTGTGTCAGTTTCAGTTACTGTTCTAGAAATCACCTTCTGAGGTCTCCTTTCAATAGTTTTTTTGGTTCTTGGTTCTTCCGGTTTAATATATTGAGGGCGCTTCGTTGGTTCTCTTTTAGGAGTGTCACCATTAATAACAGTTTTAGTAGTCCTCTTATTAACTGTGTCGTCAATTCTGTGTGTTCTGATGTGAACACGATTGTCTTCTTTTGTTCTATTTTCGTTTTCAATATCATAAAGAGTGATTTTGGCCGTAGTCTTCTTAACATCCCTTGCTTTTTCGTCTATAGATTTTTTCACTAATTTGATATCAGTTTTCGAACTGACCGTGTTGATAATTCTTTTATTCGTGGTAGTATTTTTTTCGGTTGAAGGTTTCTTAGTTGATGTTATTTTTGGTGAAGTATTATTTTTAATAATATCTCTTTTTTCATTTTCAATGAACAACTCATCGGTCTTTTTTACGGAATCTTTCTTTACAGTTTTGTTTTGTATTTTATTTCCACTCTCAATAATTTTCTTGTTAAGAATAGTTTGTGATTCTTTTTTGGTTAAATCAGTTCTCTGAATTTCATCATCTCTGCATAATTGACTGATGAATTTCTTTGTCGCTAGTGGTTCGTCAACAGGAACTTTTTGTTCCAAATTTGATACCGTAGTAACGGTAAGTAATTCCTCAACTGTTTGTTCTTCATCTGTAGTAGAGGAAGATTCGGATTCTGTTCTTTGTTTAGGTGTACGTTTTTTCGAGGGTATCACAGGAGTGATGGTTGTTTCTGATTTTTTCTTCGGCTGGGAAATTTCTTTTTTGGTAGGTATTTCTTTTTTAGGTTTTATTTGATCTGGACTACTACCTTCGGGCACTTTTCTAATTTGAGAAGGAAATTCTTTCACTGTACCTTTATCTTTTATTGGTTTTGATTTTTCGGGGTGTTTTTCGAGCGGTATCTTCTCTGGTGATTTTTTTATTTTGGATGAAAAGTCATTGGCCTGTGGTACATCTTTGTTCTGAACGAATTTATGAGAAGGTTGATTCTCGGGCGTACGTTTCGTTGGAGCCTTATCTTTAGGAACTGTCGTTGCTGGTTTTTTTAGTTGCTGATTAGATGGTTTTCTGTATGATGTTGTTGGACTCGGTATTTCATAGATTTCTTGATCTGGAGAGTCTGTTTGAGGTTGTCGTTCTAAAAGTTCTTTTTCAGGAGTAGGTAATGTACAAGGAGGTTCGTGTGTGTAGGGCATTCTGTCATTATCTGCATCTAGTGGTTTTCTGTCCGATGACTTCCTGATTTGTGATGGAAATTCTGCCAACTGCGGACTTGAGCGTGTAGGTTTATCTTTTTCCTGATATGGTTCTAATGTCTGCTTTTCTGGTATACGTTTAATTTGAGAAGGAAATTCAGAAATTTGTGGACCAGACTTTACAGGTTTAACTTTTTCAGGATATGGTTCCAGTGGTTCTTTTTCCGGTGAACGTTTAATCTGAGAAGGAAATTCCGAAGTTTGTGGGGCAGATTTTGTAGGTTTACTTTTTTCAGGGTACGGTTCCAATGGTTCTTTTTCGGGTGAACGTTTAATTTGGGAAGGAAATTCAGCTACTTGTGGAGCAGATTTTACGGGTTTACTTTTTTCAGGATACGGTTCCAATGGCTCTTTTTCGGGTGAACGTTTAATTTGAGAAGGAAATTCGGAAACTTGTGGAGCAGATTTTGTAGGTTTTCGTTGTTCAGGAAAACTTTCTAGAGGTTCGTGTTGAGGTGTTTTCCTAATCTGAGAAGGAAATTCAGCTATTTGTGGAGCAGATTTTACAGGTTTACTTTTTTCAGGATACGGTTCCAATGGTTCTTTTTCGGGTGAACGTTTAATTTGAGAAGGAAATTCAGCTACTTGTGGACCAGATTTTACAGGTTTACTTTTTTCAAGATACGGCTCCAATGGCTCTTTTTCGGGTGAACGTTTAATTTGAGAAGGAAATTCAGAAACTTGTGGACCAGATTTTGCAGGTATACTTTTTTCTGGTAACCTTTCTAAAGATTCTTGTTCGGGTGTTCTTCTGGTTTGAGGAGAAAATTCAGGTATTCGCGAACCAAGTCTGCTAGGTTTAGTTTTTTCAGGATACATTTCTGATGGTTCTTTTTCGGGTGAAGTTTTGATTTGAGAAGGAAATTCATTAATCGTGTAACGATCTATATCAGGTTCATTTTCCTCAGGATAATATCCTCTAGGTTCTTTTTCGGGTGATTTCCTGACCTGTGGTGGACACTCAGATATTTGTGGAGTAGATTTTACGGGACTACTTTTTTTAGGATACGGCTCCAGCGGTTCTTTTTCTGGAGAACGTCTAATTTGAGAAGGAAATTCAGATACTTGTGGACCTGTCTTTTCAGGACTGCTGTTTCTCAAATATGGTTCCACTGGTTCTTTTTCCGGTGTACGTTTAATTTGAGAAGGAAATTCGCTTATTTCTGGACCTTTCTTCTCAGGACTGCTCTTCTTCGGATATGGCTCTAATGGTTCCTTTTCCGGCGAACGTCTAATTTGAGAAGGAAATTCGCATATTTCTGGACCTGTCTTCTCAGGACTGCTCTTTTTCGGATATGGCTCTAATGGTTCTTTTTCCGGCGAACGTCTAATTTGAGAAGGAAATTCGTTTGTTTGAGGACCTGTTTTTTCAGGACTAGCCTTTTTTGGATATGGCTCCAATGGTTCTTTTTTCGGCGAACGTCTAATTTGAGAAGGAAATTCGCATATTTCTGGACCTGTCTTCTCAGGACTGCTCTTTTTCGGGTAAGGTCCTAAGGGTTCTTTTTCTGGCGAACGTCTAATTTGAGAAGGAAATTCGTTTGTTTGTGGAATTGTCTTCACAGGGCTAGTTTTTTTCGGATATGGTTCTAAAGGTTCTTTTTCAGGCGAGCGTCTAATCTGAGAAGGAAACTCGCTAATCTTGGAAGTTTCTTTTATTGGACTAGTCCTTCTAGGGAGTGAATTATCTTTCACAGGATTTTTATTTTCGTAATAAGGTTTCACAGGCTCTTTGTCTGTTGTCCTTTTAGGTTGGGAAGGTATTTCATTAATTTTTGAAGGAATTTTTTTCTCTGGAGATTTTGGTCGTTGATCCGGTGATCTTTTGACTTCTGAGGAGAGTTCAGTGACTTTCTTTTCAGGAGATTTTCTCCTTGGTTGATCTTTGATAGGACTCCCTTTATCGGGCGAGGGTTTTGGTCCAGACATTCTTCTAGTTTCAGTTTTATCTTTTTTCGTTTTGTCGGATTCATTAGTAATTCCTAGAATTTGACGACACCTTTCTTCATAAGTATCCGTTCTTTTAAGGGGTCTATCAGTTTTTGGAGACACTTCCTTGGTAGGTGAAATGGTGCGTAAACTATTAGTACGAGCTACATCTCGGGGAGTAGTTTTCTTCGGAGAAGGATCGGTGAGTGGAGAAGTCGGTGATCTTTCCGTAACTTTTCTTCGAGAAGTGATTTCCAATGTAGAGGGTCTTGATTTGGAAACAACAGTGGTTTCGTTGGTATCCAAATCTGTTATTATGTTTGTATTTCTGATGTATTCAATATCACTGGCAATACTGGTTGGTGATGGACTTCTAGATCGAGTTTTGTATCTGTTTTTTCGTCTAGTCAGAGTACTGCTGTCGATTTCCGTAGTGTTACTTCTTCGAGTTATGGTGTCTGTGTTGGTTTTAGTTTTGTGAGTAACTGTTTCATTACTCGTTGCCTTCCTCGGTGAAGTGCTACGTCTTTCAGGTGATAGTCGTGAAGGATGGCGATTTTTTTCTGGACTGGTACTACTTCTCAGAGAATTGGTACTAGTTCTCAAACTACGACTTGGAGATGAGCATTTACTGACTCTATCAGGGCTTACAGCACGTAGTGACCTAGCAAATGCATCATGTGTAGGACTCACCTCAACACTGATTTTTTTGTTTACAAAATCAGTTCTATATGTTGTTTCATATTGTCCTTCAGTTGGTTTAGGCTTTTGGTCCATTTCGGACTTCCCAGGTTTGATAGGTTGACGTCTTTCTGGTTGTTGATATTTTTCTTCAGGTTTTGGAGCCTTTTCAGGGCTTTCACGCTTTTGTGGTGAAGATGGATGCTTTTCAGGACTTGCAGTTTTTGGTATTTCTCTAACCGGTGTTATCGGTTCCATTTTGTTTTTAGTATCTTGTTGTTCGATAGTGATGAATTTTTCGTTAATTTGATGTTTGTTAACCTCGTTCGTGGATTGTTGGTCCACGAGGCGATTTCTATTATTTTGATCGTTACGAATTTCTCTTGTAACTGTAGTTTTACACGTTTTAATAGTTTTTACATCATCGGTTGTTTCTGCCGGGTGTTTTACATCATACTGATCTTTGCTGACTACAGTTTTGGTTGTAATAATGTTGGAATCATCAACCGTCTGCTTTTGATTTTTGATATTTTTGTCTACTGCTACGCGAAGTGTGGTGGTATTTGAAGTATCTGTAACATACGGTGTCTCAATATTTTTCACAACTGTGGTTTTGGTAGTAACATTTGAATCTCTTGTAATGGTTGGTTCATTTTTTGAGTCGTAGATTTTCTTTATTACTGTAGTAGTTGTTGTAACGTTCGAGTCTTGGGTAACGTTTGGTTCCGAATCATACACCTTTCTCACTACTGTAGTCGTAGTCTTAACGTCTGAATCTTGAGAAGTTATTGGTTCTTGTTTAGAGTCGTAAACTTTTCTGATTATAGTGGATTTTGTCGTTTGGAAATCATCCTGCGACTTGTTACTTTTATCATAAACAGCTGTAGAACGTGAAACATTGTCTACGGAATCTACCTGTTGACTTTTAACTGTTCTGCTACTGGTGCTGGTGGTTGCTGGTTGTAACCCTTGGTCTTCTGAATCGTATATATAACGTGTAACAGTTGTAGTGGTCGTGTTCGACGGTTGTTCTGTAATATAATGAGTAGTTCTTCTATCATTTTGGTTAATTTTTGATTCGGTAGCTTGGGATGATCTAACAACAGAAGAAGATGATCTTTGCTCAGAAGTGTTGTATTGGTTGCTTTTAGTTGATTGCGTTGTGTTGCCACCTCGTATTTCGTACCTAGTAGTGGTTACTGTGGAACCATCAGGCAACGTTCTTGTTTCTCGAGTTACCTTAGTTTTACCTTCAACATAGTTTGGGTGGTTTTTCAATTCAGCTGGTATATTACTAGTGTAAGTTTTTCGAGAGACTAAATATTCATCGTTTTGGTCTCGTGTGATCGCTGCAGTTGGTACTCTGTGGCTGTCAATAACATCACCACTAGTCGAACGCTGCTCAGTGACATATTTTGAAGAGGATGACGTTTTTGTTGAAGAGCTTTTAAATGAAGAATTTTCGTCGCCACCACTAGCTTCCTGTTTGATAAAAGTATTGGAAGATGCGCCAACTGCTTTAGTAAAATTTTTATCATCACCGTCTCGAAATACCGACGCTTGTTGTTCATTTCTAGCCGCATAATCGATTTGGCCACCGTCTATTTTATCAGTACCCGACGTTGTTGCAATTTTAGACGTAGAAAATGTTTTTCCATCATCACTCTTTTTGTTTGATGAAACGACAGTCCAGCCTTGGTTACCTAGTCCCTTACCTAGCATCAATAAAATCTAGTAATTAAAATTAATAAATAAATATGAGAACTAACCGGTAACTCTATAAATGTCATCTTTTGTGGGCGATTCGGAATCCCTGATTTCTTTGGTCTTCATGCTGATAAAGCTATGATCGGCCAAAGAATCAGCATGAGTGGAAGCCGAGCAAGACTTGCCTTCAGTTGTTGTGGTAGTAGTCCTCTGGATGTCAGTACTAACCTCTCCAGAATTGTAGAAGTCACGAAGTCGAGCTTCCCTTAGCTTGTACATGTGGGCACGTATTTCTTTCTTGCGACCAAAGTCTTCGGTATCTTGCCACATTTTGCGGAGGAGATCTTCATCGTTAATGAGGGACACGTCCCCCGACGTTTCGACCGACATTCTCTAGTGAAGATTAAATAAATGACTATTAATATAATTATATGATAAATTTCTACAAAAGTTGAATAAGACCGTTTTGTTGCTTATTTCGACAATAGATTCGCCAAAAATGGTGGAAAATAATCAACTATAATAGATGAATGATGTTAAGCTGAGTACATATACCTATGAGTGTTGGTTGTGTGTAACAACATAGGTGTGGAATATTCAAACTGAATTTGCTTTAAAATTCTATTTTATTATATTGTTTTCAGAAAACAACAATATTATAAAAAATTAAAATGTTGATGAATTTTATGTTGTTCCTAGATATATTTCTATGGTAAAAGCTGTACGATATAACTTGTTCCTTACAAAGGTAAAGTATTCAAAACTTATCTAATAAAATATCTATTAAAAAAATGTTCCTGTTTTTAAAGTCTCTCAATTGAAGTTTTATACAATGTAATTCCTTCTAAGAATGGAAAACGTATATCACATCTACTGAATTAAACGAAACAATACCACTAACAATTTGAAAAATATGGTTATGAAAATGAAAGATTAGCACAACAAGAATAATTGTTCCGCTCAGAAAGCTTCGTAAATTTTTTAGTAGAAGAATATAAAATAAACTTTCACAGATATCAGAAAATTTGGCATTAATTAAAAGTATATGGATAGTTACCGAAAGTAACGTAAAAGAAGAAGATATTTTACATTTTTTCAGATATAAAATAACAGCAAATAAGTAGATTGTTGAAAGTTAAATCGAAACAGAAATAGTTAGAAAACAGGTGCTTAATGATAACGATTTAACAAGAATATTTTTGTCTTGCCAACGATTATTAATGGTAATAAATTATTTCAAATTTAATTTTCAGTACCAAAGAGTTTACTGTCAAAATTATATAAGCCACGTTAATAAGACTTTAGACTTTAATTATCATATAATCAAGTGAAAATTTGAGTATAATAAGAAATAAGAATTTTTTGAAAGATACATGAAGTAAGTTTAGATTTGTTAAATTGTCAACTTAGAAACGAACGACCATATGTTGTAGCAATACTGTCAATGTTATTTACAAAAAGGGATTTAGTTAACATAAGGCATTACCGCTAGCAATAAATCAAGGTAAAATGTATTAAGTGGTTACGTATTACTGTCTTTTATTAATGTCACAGAATGTATAGGCGTTTGAGGGTTAAGTTGTTATTAATTGACCGCCAAGAGTTGGCGAAAAACACATATTTTTATGTCACACTTGACCATCACATCAGACGTGTTATGTCGATGTTTTTATGCGTTTTTAAGTGTTTTTAAATACAGATGCTTGCATTAATATTATTTTTGATATTTCTATCCTCGGCTGAATTGTTTTATCTCAAACGACGTCAATTTTTTGGCGTCTGTTCAAAATCTATATCGCCTTAAATAAATAACGTTGTGTTTTTAAAATTTTTCTAGATACAGTTATGTAAAATATGTTTTCATACGACGTATTTGTGCAAGGGTATGCTTATCTTCTAAAGACTTCAACGTAAAATTTTTCTGTCAAGTAGCATCGTTTGTTGTTAATTATTTTTCAGATGGTTTGTAAATTTGAATTTATCAGTGTATGATTCACAAGATTTTCACAGACTTGTCCTTCCTACACTTGAATAATACAACAATAATTGTTAATAAAAGGTAATTATAAATAAAAATGAACTGCCTACATATCTTTAAAAATAAAAACGGTGCGTGTTATGAACTCTAGTAAGTAAAAAAATAGTTGGCAATGAAAGATTCTATTTTAATTGTGGCATCTTTATTAGGGTCAACAGTTCTATGCTTCTTGTTTCCTATAACTAAGGTTGACTTTATAAAAATAGATTGTTCGAAATAGTTATATTGTAATTTAAAGTAGTCACACAAAGGGTTATTACAACTAGGTGCTTATTTGGAAATTGCAATGCATCTTCCTATTCGTGATCATTTATAAATGAATGTTAAAAAAGCGTAGATCACTATTTTTAAATTAGACGGTAAACTTAGATTTAAATACTATATCGCCAAAAACGGCTTCAAATATACATTTAGGTACAAATTTAAATCAACGTCCGTGTTAATATGTATCGGACATATATTAAAAAATGTATAACTAAAAATTATTATCCAAGCAGGTGTGAAGTCATTCTGTAGGTATAAATATAGTGCTGGACATAAAGTAAAAAGTTTTTTTCAAAATTCTATAATGTCTAATGCTTAGAAGTTAAAATACGAATTTGATCGTGATTTGACAAACTGAAACACTATAAATCCCTTAACATTGTAGAGAAATGTCAGGTAAATACTGAAAATAATATTTTCATTACTTCTCCAGTTTCAGCAAATTTGAAAATACATTTAAAATTGGAGAGTAATTGGTTCCGTAGCGTTACAGATTACCTGTTACATAAAACTCGATAGTGCGAAAAAGAGGTTTCTCGTTTCCGTCTGTCTGTCTGTCTGTTTGTTGTTGTCAACTTTTAGATATATGTTAGGAATACGCCTTCCCAAAATTTTGTTATATAAATCGCATTTAAAATGTATGAAATATTGAGTCTATGCTTGTTATTCATCAATGCATCCACATTATTTAGAACTGCTTATACAAAGTGATTAAAAAATGAAGGAAGGAATTTATTTTATTAAATAAATCAAAAACATTTTTCCGATAATTTGTGAATGCAGTCCCATTCAAATTGATGATATACGTATCCTTGTTAAAATTTTGATGACGTCATCAAATTTTTTATGGAAAAACTCACTTAAAACACACGCAGATAATACTTCTTTACCTGTACCTATTTTAAAAAAATTTCAGTCGCAAAATCCACTAGTATAATTTGTCGAAGAAGCTGAATTTGTTAGACTGTACTTCAGAGGCGAGGGAAGTTCTGTTTAATACTTTCCATCTGTTTTTTAGATTCCTCAATCTACAATTTATTGCCTATATGCCTAGTTAATTCCAACGGTTTCAAAGTAAACTGGTCTGAAAACTTCATTAAAACGGTCAATTTACATGTTAAGTACCAAAGATATATGATTAATTCTGAAATTTTTCAATTTATTTTAACTAATACGAATGCCGATTTATTTAATACTGACAAAAAATACTGAAACGATTTGGTAGAACATTCGTTATATTGTTGTATATTGCACATTATGATTAGATAATTACATTTTAGATTAAACATTAACGATACTTTTCCGTTAATTATTATTTTGTCTCAAAATAGGAACTGAGTTAGTTTTATGAAAATTATTAATTTATGGCAAAATAATACAATGTTGATTCAATTAAAGTTTTTCGTTACAAGCGAAAAGGTAATAAAGTTTTTACTCGTACTACAAAATTGTATATAAAACAATTTCCCAAATACAAAAACTGATATATGAACAATTTATAATATATGTATTTAGGTGTGTGCTTGCTAAATTTAACAGAATTTATCTTGATTCGAACGTGAAATACATTTGTTGTACAATAGAGAGTTGTTGTTCCTTTGTTTACTTTCGTTATATATATTTCTTTATATATCCAGCAGAATAGCCCATTGATTCCGACACTATAGTATGCTATAAAATAGAATCAGGATTATATACTTTGAAAGTAAGGAGCAACCAAAGGAAAATTTATTTTAAAAAGTCCGTTTGAAGATAACATTTTTAATAACCGAAAACCCTAAAAAGCTTGACAACGTTATCATCATTTTAGATCTGTTTCTAAAAATTTAATAATCAAAATTTCCGCTAAAAATACTCATTTAGTAAATCTTAATTAAAATTCCAATTTCATGTAAAATAGACATATATTTCGGTGTATGTGTTAAATTACTATTTCTTCATTTATTGTTAATTAATTGTGCAACACCTGAATGATGATAGCCAAGGATTCGTGCGATGTGTCATGTGCCCACGATTGCCAGATTTCAACTCAATTGTTATTGTTTGGCAAATCGTTCTTTATACGTTCGTGCCTGTTCCAAGAACATATGTTATTAATTAATATTATTATTATTATTATAACTAAAACAATTTTCTTATTTTATAATGTAATAATACACTTTCTAGATAAGACTTCATTTTGTTTGCAGAAACTTTTGAGAAGATCCTATTCCATCGTAAGCAGGAAATAATGAAAAAAGTATAAAAACATTTATCAGTTCTTAAATTAAAAACGTTGTTTGCTCATGCGCACTTTTTCTGGCGCCGTTTATGACATGCATTGTTTTTTTTTTTTTTACTATTACATACACATTATTTTTTGTCTAGCGTTATTTTAATACCGTGATTTAATTTATTTTTCGTACAATTGCGTAAAACCTTTCCATGCTAAAATTTGTTTGGAAAACAAATTAAATGATAACTCTTCAGCGCTGTTGTGTTTTTAAGCGTTATTTAAGGGTAGATCTTTTATTGACTTATTAAAACTAAACTTCTATTAATTCGACGAATAGTGTCAAAACAGGATTCAGTGCTAAACGCGCGTTTAATAAAATAGTTTTTCTTTCAGTCTTTATTTATACAACTCTTATTACAACTTATTAAAAGCCACCTAGTTACAAGAGTGTGGCATTTAATATCTTGATTATTTTTCACATCTGCGGAAGCAGTATGTCATGGTTATGCTTATGTATGACTTAATAAATACGTTGTTTGTCGTTCATTCTTCGGAGTTTATGAATTTCTAACAATGTAATCTTTTCTTACTACATTTTACTTTATTTCGTACGATTTCTCTACTCGTTCTATGCCTTTATTTGCTCATAATGTTGATAAGTAATCCATAGTAATTTAATTATGAAAACTTTGTGAGAAATGAGCAAGTTAAGAGCAAGATTAACAACTTACAGGCAAAATATTAACACACAAATGAAATGTAGGTTAAAAGATTTATCGAAGTTTATTTCGACAGAACTTCCCTCGCTTCTGAAGTACAAGTCCAACAAATCCCGCTTCTTTGAAAAATTATAAAAATTAGAGTTTGCGATGTTTGTTTTGTGATACCTCTATAAATTAAAGGGATTGTGCAGATTACGCAAGTACGAATAATATAAAATATACCATGTGTTTCTTTTATTTGATACAACCCTTGTAATTTTGTATTTTTTAAAATAAAGATATAGTTCTTTGAGCAAATTTGTACCATTTTAAAAGATCACTTATGTGAATAAATGACATGAGTGTTAATTTTTCAAGATACTAGATTGTCATCAATAAATATGAATTTTTCGTCTATATTATTGAATGACGTTTTTAGCACTGATTTTAAAATATTGATTTTTGTAAAATTAGAGGTATTGTGCAGATTACACAACTACGAATAATATAAAATATACCATGTGTTTCTTTTATTTGATACAACCCTTGTAATTTTTTATTTTTAAAGATAAAGTTCTTGGAGCAAATTTGTATCATTGTAAAAGATCACATATGTGAATAAATGACATGAGTGTTAATTTTTCAAGATACTAGATTGTCATGAATAAATATGAATTTTTCGTCCATTTTATTGAATGACTTTTTAAGTACTGATTTTAGAAGATTGATTTTTTACAAAAATTAAAAAAAAATTAGATGATGAAAAATATGTAGGTACATGCGCTTTCTTTGACAATTATGCACAAGAAAGTTTCAACCACTGCAAAGATTTGGTGTTGCTACAAAACTATCGACAACAGTGTTTTGATTATGGAATTAAAACCTATAGGTACATAGCTGACGTCACGCATATTACTTGAGATAGTACAAAAAAGGTTGGGCAATGGGCAGTACTTAAAAAAAGAAAATGTTAGAATAGGGAAAATAAATACGTTGAAAAATACTAAAGATTGTAAAACAAAATATCCTGATAATATAACACCATTTTTATTTTTAAACAAAACATATTTTGACCAATTGCACGTATATAAATAAACGCTGGGGATTCTAACAACAAAAACTTACAAAGGAGCAATACATTGTAGCAGTAATGTTACTTCCATACTGATGTTTCCTCAGTTCAACTGAAATGATTTAACGTAAATTCCATCTTACACTCGACGAAACAATAATTATGCTAAATCCAGTAAAAAGGTAATGCAAATAATTGTTCAAATAATTTCAAAAATAACAACATAATGTGAGCAAATCATGTTTCGCTGTTCATCATTAATTTAAATGACTGTGAAGAAAGTAAGGTAAATAAATAATAATAATTTATTTCTTTTTGTTTTTATAAACTGTAATAAATCGACACATTATTGTACATCCTATAATTTTTGACCCAGGCATTTTGTCGAGTTGACCATTTGGTTATTGTCATGGTTACTGGTATCGCCATAGTTTAAAAGTTAATGAACTACACAAATTACTGTTACAATTTTTTGTTAAAATTGCGAAATGTACTATCACCAAAATTATATGGCAATATAAAAATAAGCAAATTGGTTTTAGCGTCTACTTACTCTCAAGCATAGAGAAAATGTAACCGTTACTTTACATTGAAAATCTATTGCTAGATCAACTAAGGACACAATGCATTTTCGGTAAAAAAATCTACAATGACACAACAATACATATTTTCTCCACCCTAAAATTGTGCTTTTAAGAAACAACAACGACAACATCGTATACTTATATTAGCTATATTCTTACTTCCTAATTAGTCGACAGTTACAGTGATATCACAATTATTAAATCTTTTGTTAAAAAGTATATTTATTATTGTTAATATAAACTCATAAGTTCCAAAGTTTATAATCTAGTTATGAAGCTTAAATCACAGAAAATAACATTACTTGTTTACTAAATACTTTTTAATAATGCGTTTGTTTATAACGAAGAGTGCCAATTTGATATCTAAATGTCCTACAATCTCTGTAATTATTTATTAAATAAATATTTTTGCTTTTAGGCGTTTTACCTTACCAAGTTACCATACTTTCCTCTACTATTTTATAATAAGATACTAATATCAATGTAAGGAAATCGATGTAATGAAAAATAATAGTTCAAATATGATTAATTACTTCAAAAATAGATATTTGGTCTATGCATATATTTTCTTTAGGATTGGTTAAATTGTTTGCTTTAAACGGGCATATCTTATGAGTAATACATTTTCCTTTACATAAATATAATCAGTCATTGTGTTAGTATATAGTGCAAATAGAAATATTTTTCAGTATACATACTTTGAAAAAAGATAACTGACCGATTTGAACGCTATCCAACCAGTTTCTTTTTTAACTCAACTGACAGTCTTTTAAATTAACATAACAATTAATTCAAACAAAAACGAAAAAAAAATGCAGTTCAGTTCATCTTGAAATGTTTACAAAAACAACTACCATAATTTTTAGTTTCATTTAATTAACTGAGTATTTACATATTCGTAAAAAAATCCGCAATTGTAAATTAATCTTTTTTTTACATTATTGCATGATTCACAACAGTTTTTTTTAAGATAACTATAACATTCTGCATGTGACATGTAATATGTTTTGAATCCATAATCCGACTCATTTTGAAACTGGAGGCGGGTTATCGGCATGTTTGTACTACCATAAACTCTCAGCAAAAGAAAACATAATATCCCATTTGTTATATAATAGTATACCTTTTCTTTCTTTAAACAACACTTTGTTTATTAATTATCGAGTAAAGTAGTCATAATGAATTCGTCACTCCTCGTCATAATCATGAGGTGCCGATGATGAAAATGGAAACAAGCCGCGGCTGCCCATTAATCAGAATGAATGAGAAGTTTCATAATTGTCTTGTCTTCGTGTTGAACTAAATAACAAAACATCGACATATTTGCTGATGAACAGTCAAGAATTGCGTAAAGTTACCGGCCATGGACGTCTGGAAAAGTGTAAATCTATACCGTATATGGTTGTGGCCAGATTTGGATAATTAGGCTGCAGAGAAATAATGCCCCGGGTGAAATACATCGAATTTGTCACAGCGGTTCAAACAATAACAAATTTGTGTTTATTATGTAACGAGATGACATAAAGGTGAGCTATTTTTAACTTCGAAAATATAATCTGTGGTAATTTGCATTTCCAATCTGCATACATTGCCTGGCATCTGTGGCGAAATTACTGCAAAAAGTTCCTCGTAACTTCTAAATTTCCGCGAATCATAAAATTTTATACCCGCAAAAGGCAAACATTTCGAGTTTGTTTGTAAACAAACACCCATAAAAGGTAAACCTGCAATCGAACATGATGTCAGCGCAGCGTAGGTGCGATGTCACTAATGATCTCAACTAAGACGGAATTTTGAAAAAATTTTTGAGTTGGTTTTAATGAGTCACAAAGGTAGGCGTTGAACGAGTTTTGTGGGAAAAATACGATTTATCGATAGACATGGTCAGAACAGAGGTGTGATTTTATTACGATTACGCCTTGATCGTGCACATGGTAACAATTTGAAGAAAAAATCTAACCGCAAGTGTTATCAGTGCATTTGAATTGCGGCAATGTGTATGACACAGAAAAATTTGCAGAGTAAACACAATTTTATCACAACAGAAATGAAACTTACCAGAAATGAAACTCAGCAGGTGTTAAAAAATCACAACACAAGAAAAAAATTTTGAAAAATCACCCAAAAAATAAAGTCTGAGTTCTCGCAAAAGTGATAACGAGGCAATATTATTATGTAGAATTTGCGCGGTTGCCGGTGGCCGACTGACTGGTTTGTTAAAGAACTGACCATGAAGGTGGGATCTTCGCGAGGGACACCCCGGCGTGGTCAGCAGACACCTCTAAAGAGGTGCCCCGCTCTTATTGTGACGTCATTCCTGCAACTGGCGCCCACTCACTATCTTGCATTCTGGGACGGTTCTTTTTTACGCTGCTGATCTAATGGTACTGTATTTGTTCGAGCCGTGTATGGGCTTTTGCGTTATGCACTTTGTCGTTTATGGCGAAGATGAATATAGCGTTGTATTGACGCTAAATTCTAAAAAAAAAAGAAGTAAAACAAAGATTTTTTTTTTGTAAATTAAGAGAATCTTAGTGTTTGATGGGCTGCAGCAACGTGTTAATAGTTTGATAGCCATAATAAAACAAAGTCAAATTACGCTTCAAGTATTAGCTGCAATTAAGTCACATTCTTCCCTTACATGTTACTGTGCTGCAGGCTCCAGTAAGCTGTATTCATTGCAATTCATTAATTAAAGTGAATTACAAACATGTGTATGTGCAGAAGGATAATGTAATCAATGAAATGTAAATTTACAAATTAGCTCAAATGTATATTCATGCTAAGGATGTTTTAACTGTGATAAATGGCAATTTTTCATATTTCTAACGATATAGAAGAAGGTGGAACAGTTTATAGTAGAAAGGCAATAAGAAATATTGTATTAGAATTAAGTAGATTAAGTAGTTTGAATTCGAACAGTAAGTTTTAAATATTTGTTGCGTGGCGCCTTTCCATAAGTATTTGTGAGCTGCAAGTTATTGATATTTTTGAGATTTTTATAACTTTTAAAGGTAACTTTCTAAATAAAATTTAATTGTGCACCTTACATGTTACGGTATAGGTCTCATGTACGTACTACACATGTTTTATTTACGGTTGACGTGAGCATAATATAATATGGGAACGTTAAAATATTTCTCAAATAATAAGTAGTTTACACATTATAGATAAGTATCACAGAAAATTTGATTTATCAAAAATAAATTAGGATAAGCAAATTACAGCTTAGAAACAACTGAGTAATTTTTTGACTTTTTTAGGAGTATTTTTCTACTTTACTATGTGGCTCATACAGGAAAAACTGTAGGTATATGTTTTTATATTTTTAAATCTTTTTAACTGTAAGCAACAGTGCCAATCTGAAAATATAGTATTTTAGGCTGTATATTGGACTGTGAAGATTAAATTGACTATAGTTTCATTACTTTCGAAGGGTGAATAAGAAATTTAAAAAAATCATGTAAGGAGGGATAAGCCGGGATACTTGAACAAAATGGGTTCTCTGCAATATTTCGTAATTGTGTTAAAATGCATGCATATGTTGGGACCAGACTTGTCACTCACATTCCTCTTTAAATATGTACGTGCTATTAGGTCAGGTGGCCATGTTGCTACATAACAGCGAAAAGCGCATTTCCCCTCAATTCGTTAGAATTTTTCTGACTTGTAACGTACGTGACTAGATCAACATACATGATCGGTGAGAGTTCCAGGTAGATGTGACGCACAATTAGTTGTAACTTTTTTAAATTTGTTTAAAGATAAACCATATTCATAAATTAAACTATGCCATTTTATTCCACACAAAGATATTTTGACATATTTTCGATTGCCAGTTTGACGTTGAATATAAGAAAAAGTTCCACTTCTTTAAAGTAGTGTAAATTTAAGGTGGAAGAACTAATTTCTTTATAGTTTGTCATAATAATGGAGGGTTTAATTATCAGTTATCCTTATCAGTGAGTTTTCCGATAAGCCATTACACTAGTTCTAAGTTTTACCCTGATTTGGTTCTAAAGTTTTTGTTCTCATTTCTACTTGGCTGTTACAATTGTTATCCTTTGGAACTAACTTCTGTCATCAATATATAGATAATACGAGGCACAGTTTAATAACCCCCTTCCCCTATGAGTGCTCCGAACGCGCTACCTTCAGATCACGGTTGGGGAGGGAGAAATGATATTATACAATTCGGATTTTTTTTGCGAAAATTTGAATGTCTAGGGTAAACACTCATTTTTACTAAAATTTAAATCGCATTGCCTGTTGCACATTTTACGTAGGATTTATTCGGCAAAATTTTGAGATGACTATTTTTTGGGGTGATAAACAGATATAATTTGATTAAAAAATTACCATGCTTACGATAAGTTTAAAACGACTTCAAAATTTTAAAGTATTCGGTTGTAACGTTTCTGATTTAATCAATAAAATAAATTGGCTTTCATTTTTTTTAAGTCACCCACTATAAGTAATTCTAAAAACTATAAGTGCGTTGATAAACCACCAATATAAAGTCATAAAATTTTATATATTTCAGAGAGGATTTATTCGGCAACATTTCGGAAACGGGAGACCTGTTTTTTCGTACTCTAGAAGTCATGACACGTTGAGAAAATATGAAAGGTATTCGTCGAATGGATTGGCTTACTATACGTCCTTGGTTTACGTTTGGTAAGTAAAAAGAAAGAAAACAAAAAATAGAATAAGATACTCTGTGTTACAGGAGCAATGAGGACCACTCCCACAGCGGCTCTGGAGACTCTTCTTTGCTTAGCACCTCTTAATCTTCACATAGAGGAAGCGGCAATGACGACGTCTCTAAGACTTCACTCTCTGGGAGTATGGAACAAGCAAGGCCGCACAACGAAGCACACTCGGATCTTAACGGAGGCGTTCAACAGGATACCCTTGTTAAGGCTGGGCTGTGACCGAATGGGCACAAAATTAATATATGAGAAGACATATAGAATATCAATGAATGAAAATTCAGAAGGACGAGCCGACATAGATATCTATGTCGATGGTGCCAAAACAGATAGTGGTTCAGGAGCCGGCATCTACTCCGAACAACTGAACGCACAAATCAGTGTACCTCTCGGCACCCACACGTCTGTCTTACAAACAGAACTGATGGGAATAATGCTGGGAGCTAGAATCATTGCTGAACGTGAAATCGGCAACAAATCAATACGCATACTTACTGACAGCAAGTCTGCACTACTAGCCCTGGACAGCTGTATGGTTCGATCCGGGCTGGTTTGGGAGTGCAGACAAACGCTAAAGTATGTAACGCAGAGGAATAGTGTGGAACTTTGTTGGATCAAAGGACACAGTGGCAACGAAGGAAACGAGAGGGCAGATGAGATGGCGAAGCGAGCCGCGCGCATGCCCTTCTGGGGACCTGAACCGGCAATCACGCCTTCGGTCGCCCTCTCGAACGAACTCGTAAAGCAATATACCCAGAGACGCCATGAGCAGATATGGGTGAAGTTGAGCAGCTGTCGGCATAGTAGAGCTTGTATGGCGACACCAGACCGTAAGTTGACGAAATTTTATCTCTCACTTTCAAGGGACAAACTGCGTAAACTGGTAGGATTCCTTACGGGACATTACCAGTTTAACAAACATCTACATACGATAGGGGTGGTAACAGACCCAATCTGTCGTGGATGCAATGAAGAAGAGGAAACAGCTGAGCACATTCTTCGTGAGTGTCCAGCCCTAGCCTCCTACAGGGAATCCATACTAGGGGACGTCTGGCCTAGTATGGCAAATATCAGGGAGTTTCCACCCTCTGCATTACTCAAGTACATTCAAGCAGTTGGGTGGCTTGACGAGTAGAGGAGCGGGAAAACACCCTGATATGGACTTGGGGAAGGTACAATGGGCCCAAAGGCGAGGCCTAAGTGCCGGCTGGCTACGGTCAGCCCCCATAAATTAAGAATCCAGAATCCAGAAGATACTCTGTTAAAAAATAGTGTATTTTATTTGAAAAAACTGAAATTTTGTGAACCTTTCCATTGCTAAAAAATTTCAAGAAAATTGCAATAATGTGACAACATCGGATCAGAATTCTAAAAGTAAATTGAGGTTGTAAAGCTTAAGAAGAGATCAACGAAAATATGTAAAAATATACAGGGTGTTCATTTCGTCTGTTCATTCCTGACAATTTTTGCATAGGCAACATATTATACACCCCAGAGACGACTTCATCCAATTTAATTTTTTTAATAAGTAGTCATAGCAGTCAGAGAAAAAAAATGACAAAGATGTCAATGCCAACAAATGACAAAATTGAAAAAATCAATACTCAATTTATTAATGGATCAGATTACAACGAAAACGAATTTATAATAAATGTTCAAAATGCTTGCGTCCACTATCTTTACAAAATCCTATCCTAGGTTCAAAATTTTTACGAACGCTATCTAATATGTCGGGAGTTATAAGTCTGCATGACGCTGTCATCCTTTCATGTAAGTTATTTTCATTTTCGATTGGGACAGTATGAACGTCATTTTTCACCTTCCCCCAAAGAAAAAAAATCTAATGGCGTTAGATCAGGACTCCGTGCAGGCCAAGCGTACTCTTTTTCTTTAGCAATAAGTCTTGGCGCAAACGCTCTGTGTAAATAGTTCCTAATGTCCCGTGTCTCTCTGAAATTATTCTTCGTATGTGTAGCTCTACGTTTTCCAACAGTTCATGTAAAATATCCTTAAACAAATTTAGATACATGGGTCCGTTTAAATTTCCTTCAAAAAAAATGTTGACCAATGATGTAGTTATCAACAATTCCACACCAAGCATTAACTTTGAAAACTTCTTGGAAGTGCTTTTCCTGATACCAATGGGGATTTTGCTGAGCATAGTAATGTGAGTTGTGTCTGTTTACACACCCGTTATTGCTAAATGTGGTTTCATCCGTAAACAAAACGTTAACTAAAAAATCTTGATTGTCTCGTAATTGAGCCCTCACGAATGCGCAAAACACTAACTGTCGGATAAAATCGCGTTCTGTTAAATGTTGGACAATTGTCACACAAAATGGATGAAATCGGTTTGCTTTTAAGATATTGAAAGCCGAACCCAAACTAATCTCCATTTGACTTGTCTTTGACTCACGTGGGGATTTTCTGCTCCAATTTCAATTAGAGCAGTTTCATTATCCGGCGTTGTTACAGTTTGATTTCTAACTTTATTTTTTTTGAATTGCCTAAATTTTCGTAAATTTTTTTCAAGTTTTCTAAACGCCTGATTTGAGGGAGTTCTTCAATTGGGATATTGCCTGGCGTAGAGACGAACACTAGCATCAAAATTTTTGTCACACTTTCCCGATATTAATAGCATGTCTGTTTTTTCAGAATTGAAAACATTTTAAAATAAACGAAAATTGAAAACATTAATTTGGCTGACACAAATAATTTACCATAATTTTCCTTCTGGTCATTGCTATCTATGCGTTCATTATTATTTAAAAATAAAAATTAATCAAAGCCGTTTATGAAACGTAAAATGGGTTGTCTATGCAGAAATATTCAGGCGTGAACAAACAAAATGAACACGCTGTTTTGTTAAAAATAATTTTAGACTTTAGTCCTCAAAGAACCGTACAAGTTTAATCTTTGTTTTTTTTCTATTTCTGCCTAATAATTAATGAGATACCGAGGAACAGGTCCTCAGTGACTCACCCTGTATATATAAAAATATGCTACTCTTATGGGTTTGTAAGGTCTGGTGTCGATAAACGGAGTTTTGGTTTTATAAATTTATTTTAAAATTACATAGATGACTATAAAACACTACGAATTACTTCATGTCTAATACTTATTTTCCTCAACAAAAAGAGTACAAAACTCGGACTTAAGATATCTTAATAGAGTCAGTACAACCATGTAAATTGAGGATAGACTTTAAATATGCAGTATTGGTTTAGTTTAGTGATAAGTCAACAATACAATGGTATATAAACAAAAGATTCTAAGTATTAAAAGTGATTAATATATAATGACAAAATATTTTGACCAGAACACTACACTTTCTAACCTCATTCATCTGAAAGAAATTTGCAAATTTTTAATTTTTTTACCTTACGTTTGTTCAAATTCTGATAATATAAAAAAATCAACATGTGTTCCAATTAATCTATTAAAGTGAATACTATAATTTATTGTTTGCCCGACTTTCATTTCCCGAAATATAAATTTTGTTTAGTTTTTTGGTTCGCAATATGTTCGACTATATTTTAGGGGCGAGGGAAGTTCTGTCCAAATAACATTAGACATAAATTCGGTCCTAGTGTTTTCTGTCTTTTCGCGCTATCATCCGTTTTTACACTGCTTAGAAACAGATACAAATATTCAACTTTACACAACAATTTAAACATTTTGGGAAAATTTATGCGTTTAAAACAAATTACAACTGCACAATTTACTACTACTTAATTAATGCTCTGGACCGCTTTTTATGTCCTCTCTCACCTACACTGGCTAGTGTTTGCGACCAAGTACCAAGCGCAGTGTATACCTCTTATAATAATGGATCCTGCTAATAAATAATTAATACGATATAGAAAAACGTTTAGTGATTCACGCAGTACATTTGTTTAATACGTTGACACGAGGGACTATTTATTATATGTGTTGTTCAAATAATCATCTCCCTTGTGCATTTTCGGCAATTTTTATTGACTACCTAATGATTCACAAATCTGTAATAGTTAAATGATCTAAATATTTAGGATTTATGATTATTATAGAGGTCAACAGTAGTCAATAAACGTATGGACATGTGTCTGTCCTTCTTTTTTAAGATTTTTCTAAGATTTTTGGTAATTTTTTGGTAGTAGATACGTTTTTTATATTTAACAACTGTCAAATTAAGAAAGAATGTGAAAGTTACTGCTTTCGTTTTTGCTTTAATAAATAGCGTTAATGTAAAGTCAAAGCCAAACTGATGAATTATACTAAAGCTATTTTTTAATTTTTTAATTTAAAAGTGAAGGTAAAATGTTTTGAGAAGTTTGCTCGAACAATAATTGAGATATTTATTGACATTACGCTGCTCTTTCAAGAAATGGTAATGATGTTATAATCACAACATAAATGGATGTCAAAAAATAATTTTGACGTACAGTTGTGTATTTTTACACAACAACAAAAGCCACGGGTTTCAAATTGTTCCTAAAAAATGTTTGTTTCGTGGGTTCATTACTTTAGACGTATGCTGTACTTGACCATGATATAATATGAGGTCCACACTACGATTTATTTATATTTTTGGGGATCTATTTTAGTTTGGACCACTCTTACGTACTTTTTATTTATTGACATTAATAATATCTACTGTATTTTTAATATGCACATTTCCAAGAATTTTGTCTTTTATCGGACATTAATGTGTATTTTGTTATCCCTGCACTGATCTGTGATTTTCCATATAATGAAACTTTAACAATTTTTTTGTAAAATGCTAACATGTTTTGAATGCTTTAAATAGAAAAATTAATTACATTTTAAACCTCGTGTAGGTTACACGAGTTTATACTAAGACTTTAAACTACGAAGTATACAACCGTAGAAATTTTCTTTATGTACAAGTATACTAAATGTAGGTAAATCTGTATTAAAAACATAAAAAAATCATTAATTTTTTATTAAAATACTTATATATTA